GTTAAGGAACGCATTTTACATAATTTTATTAGTTTCTTTGATTTACATCAGTTTAATAATGTATTAAATTCTTCTAATAGGTTACTTGATTTATTGATGTCTAATATGTCGTGTGAAGTAGTTCATGAAAGTGATCCACTTGTTGCAGAGGATGTATATCATCCAGCATTGCTGATTAGATTGAATAGAATTTTTGTTAGTGAACCTGAACTTTCTCCAAATGTTAATGAAAAATGTTACAACTTTAGAAAAGCTAACTTTCCTATTTTATATAACGCAATTTTGGAATGTGATTGGTCTTTTTTATTGCAAATTGATGATATAAATCTAGCTGTGCGGGGTTTTTACCAAAAGCTGTATAAGATTTTTGATGAATATGTACCACTATATAGATCATTTAGACATAAATATCCTCCTTGGTATAATGCTGATATTATAAGAAATATTAAAAGAAAAGCTAAAGTACATATGAAATATAAAAAAACATGTGATGAATTGCACTTGGAAGAATTTAAGAGGTTACGTAGATTAATTAAAGATCAAATCAAATTGGCGTATGAAAATTACTTAATTCAGATCCAGACAGCAATTCCTCACAATGTCCAGCAGTTCTGGTCATTTGTGCATTCAAAAAATAGAAGTAGCAGAATCCCTGGGAGAATGTCTTATGATGATATTATACTAGATCAACCACAAGATATTGTCAATGCATTTAGTAATTTCTTTAAAAGTGTTTTTACTATCTCTGATGATAGTTTTTGTCCCCAGGAAAGTAATTTTAATATTAACAATATCCATTTTGGGTTAATAACAGAGGTGGAGATTCTTGATGCTGCTAATAAGCTTAAAAATAAATTCACTTCTGGTCCTGATAGGATTCCTTCATTCATTGTGAAAGATTGTATACGTGTATTTGTTACTCCACTCTGTTATTTATTTAAACTGGCAGTGAAATGTATTGAGTTCCCTAAACTATGGAAAATAGCTAGAGTATGCTCTATTCTCAAAAACGGTGATAATAGTCTTATTATTAATTATAGACCAATTATCTATATAAGTATATAAGTATCTATACATAATTATCTCAACTTCAACACGGTTTCTTAAATAATAGATCAGCCATAACAAATTTAACTGTATTTGCCCAATTTGCATTTGAAGTCCTTGATAATCAAGGACAGGTGGATGCAGTTTACACTAACTTTACCAAAGCTTTTGATAGGATTAGTCACACTGTATTATTGAATAAACTAGGTAATTTTGGTTTCGTTCTAGCTCAAAGGTTTATTTCATCTTATTTAAGGCAAAGAGAACAATATGTTGAGTATAATGGCTTTAAATCCCCGGCATAGTTTACGTCAGGCGTGCCTCAAGGGTCTAACCTTGGCCCTTTGCTTTTTTTACCCTTCATAAATGATTTGAGTCATGTCCTTGATTGTCATTAACTATTTTTTGCTGATGATTTAAAGATTTATAGGGATATTAATAGTGTTGAGGATTGTGTAGAGATACAAAATGGCCTTAACCTTTTCGCTGCGCAACACGTCTGAACGTAGCCATGCGCGAAAGTTTACCGCGTGCGAATATACTCATCTGGAGCAATTAGACTACTTATATTTTTACATTATGTTGTGTTAAATTAAATTAAAATATTTAAAGGTTTCAAAATAATTGTAATAGTTTAAGTTATTAATATTTTATTATAAAGCATCCATCACTACGCTCTTCAATCTCAAACTCGTTGCCGCTATCGCTCCTCGCTAGAATTTCCAGTTCTTTGTCGGTAAGTTTTCTAAATATTTTTACGATTTTATTTTAAATAAAATACAATATGTCGACAGCCATACTAAGTAGAAACTGAAAAAGATATGAATAATCCTGGCATTATTACCAGTAAAAATAATTGCCACAATCGCTATAAGCTCCGCCCGCAAAAATTCCCTATACCAATTGCAACAACCGAGTCACTAATGCGCATGGTTACAAATATATACGGTTTGAGCAGCCTGATCCAATTTAACTATTCAAACGAATTAATTCGTCTGGAGAAATTTGAGTCGTATACATTTTTAGCGAATAAACTCGTCTGGAGCAGTGAAAGGGTTAACAAGTTATTGAGATGGTGTAATGAAAATCAATTGTACCTGAATTCTGAAGTGTAAAATTGTTTCATATAGCAGAAAGAAATGTATTCGTTATTATGATTATAAAATAGAGAACATAGTTTTGAATTGTGCCGACTCTTATAAGGATCTTGGCATCCTGTTTGACCGTGAACTATCATTGAACCAACATACATGTTTCTTTGAAAATTGGTGAAGCAATGAAAATGTATGGATTTATAGTTAGAAATTGTAGAACGTTTACTAACATTGATGCTTTGAAAATACTATACTACTCTTATGTGCATTCCAAGCTTGAGTATGGTTGTGTGATTTGGTATCCATTCTACAGATGTTACAAAGTTGATACTGAATCGATCCAAAGGAAATTTTTGAAATATTTAGTACTTAAAATTGATGGTGTTTATCCTGAAAGAGGTGTAGCTTATATTTCGGTATGGATTTCAACTCCTTCAGTGATTTTTGTTTTGTGGCTTCTATCGACTCGAACGTGTTCCACGAAATGGTAATTTGCGTTTGGGAAACAGAAAAAGTCAGCAGTGGCCATTCTGGGGAATACAGTGGCTGCTCGCTGACATTCGTTGAGTTTTTTGTCAAAAATTCATTCACAATTATCGCTTTGTTTGATAGTGCATTATTATGGTGCAAAATCCAGGAATTGTCCTTCCATAAATCTGGTCTTTAAGCCGAATACTCTCTCAAACACCTCATAAGCTCAGATAATATTCTTTGTTGACTGTCTCTGTATAGTCAAAGAAAACAGTCAACATGACTTTAATTTTTGATCGATTTTGACAAGTTTTTTTGGTTTCTGCTAGTTAGAAATGTGCCATTCCTATGCTTGTTGGTTCGTTTGCATGTCAAACTTGTAAACCCATGTCTTGTCACCCGTTATGATATGTTGCATGAATTTAGAGCTCGAATTAAGTCGTTCAAGCATGTCCTCAGCTCCTTTTGAAGAACCTTCAGCTCTTTTGCAATCAGCTGTGCTGCGATGCGTTTTATACCTAAAACATTAACTAAAATGGTGCGAACTGATTCGTGAGATATGTTTAGTTAATATCTAGCTAGCTCTCTAAAACTATAATGAGGGCTTGCAAGCACCATTTCCTTCACTTTATCGATGTTTCCTTCAGTTAATGACATTGAAAGATGTCCATAACATGGCAAATCATCAACCACTTCTCGACCATGTTTGAATGCTTTGTATCATTCCAATTCTTGATTTTTCGATAAAACATTTTCAATGATTCAGCACGAGAAATTCCATTGGTGGCACAAAATTCAAACTGTTTGTTCAATAACATTATCCATAGTAAAAATCGCGGATCACACTTTAGGTGGACTAACAAAATTAACAGATGTAAACAAACTACTTGTCAGATCGAGTCAGAGTAGAGTACAATGCTGCCAACTTTCCATTAAAAAAAAAAAAAAATTAAATCTACTTTTTTGGCATGTATATGAATTGATATCACAATATACAGAGTGATCATAAAAGTTTGCAAATTTTCTTTTTTCTTCCATGGCATATGGTGCATTCCAAAAATAAATTACTTCCAACAAACTGCTCAGAAACTAATACGTTCCTCACGAAACGCCCTGTATTTGAAAAGTAAATAATTTTGAAAAAACAATACCTTTACGGAGTTATAATAAATTTTTTATGCACCGTAAAATATTACCTTGCACACACAGTATATAAATAATAAATGCCAAATATTTTACATTTGTTTGTTAGATAAGGAAGAAAATTCTTTGTCAAAAGTTTAAAGAACCCTTGTAGAGGAATCAAAATATATTAATACGAAGAAGACAATAGGTAGAATTTTAATAATATTTTTTGAAATCTTATTTAGCGATTTTTTTTTATTTATAAGGTTACGTAGCTTGACGCATCTCTGAAGGTTTAAGTAAATTTATAACACAGAAATCTGTTTTACACCAATTTCTAATTTTACTGAATACTGAATTTATTTTACCGATTGTCTACCATCATACTTTTATTTATATAAACCATGGTCGTTTTTCCCCATTGTGTAATTGAATTTACTTTGTTGAAGGGTGTATCAAATAAATAAAACATGTTTCAGGTGTGGAATCTGATTCTGTAAAAAAACCTGCAGAAGAGTTTACGGCCGACCATCCGTTCTTGGTCTTCTTGCAGGTGGAGATCGACGATGCCGTTTTGATACTTTTCCGGGGCTGCGTTTATAAACCCAGTTATTAAATTACGACAAGCTTGCACTATGTATTTTTTCTAACGGGACATACCGGCTTACTCGAGTAAGATTCACTTTGTAAGACCTGTCACTTGACTGTTTAGAGATCTCTCACTTGATCAGGTTATCGACTTGCTTGTGTGGGTTGGTGTGCCGATTAAAAAAATGGCTTAAATTTTACAATAATTAGAATTATGTATATGACGCTTTTTTAAGAAAATATATACTAGTCAGTTATAAACTACAAATATTTTATATAATATTTTATGTTTACAAGTTTTAAATGTTGTTTAATGTGTGTAAAACTATATATTTTATTAAATCACTAATGCTTTGATATGTAATTTTTTTCGACATTGACGAATTTATATTCTAGAATTTCATCTTATAGCGGAAAGTTACAGACAAGTAAGTGTGTTCTTAAAGCGACATAACCGTTTAAAAACAACTTTGCCAGAAAGTGCTTCACTTACAGCTGAGTGCTTACGCCGCCACCTATGTGTGTGAGCTTTAAACCAGCCTTTTCTTAAGGTATGTATACTATTTTATTCACAATCATTGAGCTTTAATATACTTATATCTTTTTGTCACTACAATCTCGGGAGTGCATAGGGAAGGTCAAAATAACACTAGTTTGTCATAAAAATACATCCTAAAGTGCCCCTTAACGGAGACACGGAGCCCCAAAGGGGTACCTAGCGATTTACATTTTCGTCTATAACTTTTGAATCGACATGTTTAATTTAATGAAATTTTAATATTTTACGTAGGCCATAGTCTCATAAAACCATACTAGAGTATGGGAAGTCAGGGAAGTGAGGAACGGACTTGCCACCATACTCGCAGAGCAAAAATTTTGACAGGCGTCATTTTATACAGCTGAAAATAAATTTTTAAATACTTTGGTCATTCCTATTTAAAAAAGGTACTTCACATTTGTTTTGATAAAATTAGCTGTTTTCGAAAATATTTAATTTTTGTAAAGCACGTATAGCAATTTACACAAGAAGAATTTATTCTGATACATTTCCAAATCAACATTTACCGCACCAAAGAACTTTCGAAAGGGTTGATCGTAGCTTACGAGAAAGGGATAGAAAGTCGAGTGAAATAAAAGAATGCTAAAAGTAGCTAATCTCTTTGTCCTGCTTTATCTCTGTAGGCCTGGTGACATCCGACAGGTTCGTTTTTTTTTTACTATAATTCGAGCTCCAAGTTGGCGTCGTGTCAACCGACAGGGTTCTCGTATATTAAAGTTCTAACCTCAGATGTAGTTAATGACTTATCGTGGAGGTGACCTTATAACACAAGCGTTGATACAGTTACAGCGGGTCGTGAAATTCGCAGATGGCAGGTCGAAGAAGTGATTGTAATGCCAGGGCAAGTAAGAAACTTTTAAGTATTTAGTTGAGGGTGGAAAATGATTTATAAAGATTTTTTAAAATTATGTTAGGCACCAGTAAATTTTTAGATGAATCTACAAACTTATTATGCTTCTAACCGGATTACTTTTTAATCTAGGTCAGGTGTATATGCAAAAGATAAATAATTTTTTGAAAAAATATTTTTCAGATGAAAATAAGTTGACTGGGTTCTTAAAAACATATTTTGTTTCGAAAAAAAAATATTTTTTTGAAAATTTATTATTGAAGTTATATATGAAAAATAATTTTCTTGTTTAAAAAAAGTTAGTTTTATTAGAAAAAATAATTTTGGTTTCAAAAAAATATATTTTTGTTTGCTAAAAGGTTTTTTTATAGAAAAAATAATTTTTGTGTAAAAATATTAACAAATATATTAAAAGAAATATACGTACAGAGTATTACTTTTTCAATATAAACAAAATAAAAAAATAAAAGTTTTTATATTTATATGGTTAACTTTGTTAACTTAGCAATAATAGAAAATAAATAGTAATTTTGAATTATTCTTTACTAGAAAATTCACAAAAAGAACAAATACATAAATAATCAAACTGTAGAAACTTGTATAATGAAATGAACTAGTAAAAACTATCCTCCGTTTGTACTTTACCCGAGTAACCGTCACCGTCGTCTTCTGAAGGCGAACCTTGTCGACGGTCCGGTCCTGGAGGTCTGCGGTTCTCACCCTGGAATCGCGATGCAGAAGGTCGAGGTCCTGGAGGCCTAACATAGCTAAGATCCTCTTCAATCTGGGCAGCGATATTTGTCAGCTCCTCAACATCTCGAAACTCTTTTGCTCGGAGAAAATATCTTAATTCTGGACGTAGTAATTCTAGAATTATACTAGTTTCTCGATTACCATGTGCTGTTTCCGGAAATCGGGAAAACAGATACCGCTTCCTCGCAATAAATGACGTGACTGGCTCAGTTTCACGCTGTCTTTCCCCGTATAGTTGTGTTTTAGCGGCGGCTATAACGGCGGGAGAGTTAAACTTCTCAGTACAGGTATCGTAGGTGACAGCTGGTTGTCGATATGGCTCAAACCAATCCTTAGCACTTCCTCGTAGCTGAGCTAACACGTCACGATCCTCGTCTTTCTTGGTCTTCCTTGGCTTGAAGGAAACCTCCGAGTCTGGTAAGAAAATAATTTTCTTGTTAAAAATAAAAATTTTAAGTTAAAAAAATTTTTTGAGAAAAAAATAATTTTGGTTTCAAAAAAAATTATTTTTGTGAAAAGTTACTAAAAGGTTTTTTATAGAAAAAACAATTTTTTGTGTAGAAATATAAGAAATATACGTACAGAGTTAGGTACTTTTTCAATACGAACAAAATGAAATAATAAAAGATTAACAATTTATATAGTTAACTTTGTTAACTTAGCAATAATAGAAAATAAATAGTAATTTTGAATTATTCTTTACTAGAAAATTCACAAAAAGAACAAATACATAAACAATCAAACTGTAGAAACTTGTATAATGAAATGAACTAGTAAAAACTATCCTCCGTTTGTACTTTACCCGAGTAACCGTCGCCATCGTCTTCTGAAGGCGAACCTTGTTGACGGTCCGGTCCTGAAGGTCTGCGGTTCTCACCCTGGAATCGCCATGCAGAAGGTCGAGGTCCTGGAGGCCTAACATAGCGAAGATCCTCTTCAATCTGGGCAGCGATATTTGTCAGCTCCTCAACATCTCGAAACTCTTTTGCTCGGAGAAAATATCTTAATTCTGGACGTAGTAATTCTAGAATTATACTAGTTTCTCGAATACCATGTACTGTGTCTGGAAATTGGGAAAACAGATTCCGTTTCTTCGTAATAAATGACGTGACTGGCTCAGTTTCACCCTGTCTTTCCCCGTATAGTTGTGTTTTAGCGGCGGCTATAACGGCGGCAGAGTTAAACCTCTCGGTAGAGGTATTGTAGGTGATAGCTGGTTGTCGATTTGGCTCAAACCAATCCTTAGCACTTCCTCGTAGCTGAGCTAACACTTCACGATCCTCGTCTTTCTTGGTCTTCCTTGGCTTGAAGGAAACCTCCGAGTCTGGTAAGAAAATAATTTTCTTGTTAAAAATAAAAATTTTTTGAGAAAAAAATTTTGGTTTCAAAAAAAATTATTTTTGTGAAGTTACTAAAAGTTTTTTATAGAAAAAACAATTTTTTGTGTAGAAATATAAGGAATATACGTACAGAGTTAGGTACTTTTTCAATATAAACAAAATGAAAAAATAAAAGTTATTAACAATTTATATAGTTAACTTTGTTAACTTAGCAATAATAGAAAATAAATAGTAATTTTGAATTATTCTTTACTAGAAAATTCACAAAAAGAACAAATACATAAATAATCAAACTGTAGAAACTTTTATAATGAAATAAAATAGTAAAAACTATCCTCCGTTTGTACTTTACCGGAGTAACCGTCGCCGTCGTCTTCTGAAGGCGAACCTTGTCGACGGTCCGGTCCTGGAGGTCTGCGGTTCTCACCCTGGAATTGCGATGCAGAAGGTCGAGGTCCTGGAGGCCTAACATAGCTAAGATCCTCTTCAATCTGGGCAGCGATATTTGTCAGCTCCTCAACATCTCGAAACTTTTTTATTCGGAGAAAAGATCTTAATTCTGGACGTAGTAATTCTAGAATTATACTAGTTTCTCGAATACCATGTACTGTGTCTGGAAATTGGGAAAACAGATTCCGTTTCCTCGTAATAAATGACGTGACTGGCTCCGTTTCACCCTGTCTTTCCCCGTATAGTTGTGTTTTAGCGGCGGCTATAACGGCGGGAGAGTTAAACTTCTCAGTACAGGTATCGTAGGTGATAGCTGGTTGTCGATATGGCTCAAACCAATCCTTAGCACTTCCTCGTAGCTGAGCTAACACGTCACGATCCTCGTCTTTCTTGGTCTTCCTTGGCTTGAAGGAAACCTCTGAGTCTGGTAAGAGAGTATTACTTTTTCAATATAAACAAAATGAAAAAATAAAAGTTATTAACAATTTATATAGTTAACTTTGTTAACTTAGCAATAATAGAAAATAAATAGTAATTTTGAATTATTTACTAGAAAATTCACAAAAACAACAAATACATAAATAATCAAACAGTAGAAACTTTTATAATGAAATAAAATAGTAAAAACTATCCTCCGTTTGTACTTTACCGGAGTAACCGTCGTCGTCGTCTTCTGAAGGCGAACCTTGTCGACGGTCCGGTCCTGGAGGTCTGCGGTTCTCACCCTGGAATTGCGATGCAGAAGGTCGAGGTCCTGGAGGCCTAACATAGCTAAGATCCTCTTCAATCTGGGCAGCGATATTTGTCAGCTCCTCAACATCTCGAAACTCTTTTGCTCGGAGAAAATATCTTAATTCTGGACGTAGTAATTCTAGAATTATACTAGTTTCTCGATTACCGTGTGCTGTTTCCGGAAATCGGGAAAACAGATACCGCTTCCTCGCAATAAATGACGTGACTGGCTCAGTTTCACGCTGTCTTTCCCCGTATAGTTGTGTTTTAGCGGCGGCTATAACGGCGGGAGAGTTAAACCTCTCGGTACAGGTATCGTAGGTGATAGCTGGTTGTCGATATGGCACAAACCAATCCTTAGCACTTCCTTGTAGCTGAGCTAACACGTCACGATCCTCGTCTTTCTTGGTCTTCCTTGGCTTGAAGGAAACCTCTGAGTCTGGTAAGAGAGTATTACTTTTTCAATATAAACAAAATGAAAAAATAAAAGTTATTAACAATTTATATAGTTAACTTTGTTAACTTAGCAATAATAGAAAATAAATAGTAATTTTGAATTATTTACTAGAAAATTCACAAAAACAACAAATACATAAATAATCAAACAGTAGAAACTTTTATAATGAAATAAAATAGTAAAAACTATCCTCCGTTTGTACTTTACCGGAGTAACCGTCGTCGTCGTCTTCTGAAGGCGAACCTTGTCGACGGTCCGGTCCTGGAGGTCTGCGGTTCTCACCCTGGAATTGCGATGCAGAAGGTCGAGGTCCTGGAGGCCTAACATAGCTAAGATCCTCTTCAATCTGGGCAGCGATATTTGTCAGCTCCTCAACATCTCGAAACTCTTTTGCTCGGAGAAAATATCTTAATTCTGGACGTAGTAATTCTAGAATTATACTAGTTTCTCGATTACCGTGTGCTGTTTCCGGAAATCGGGAAAACAGATACCGCTTCCTCGCAATAAATGACGTGACTGGCTCAGTTTCACGCTGTCTTTCCCCGTATAGTTGTGTTTTAGCGGCGGCTATAACGGCGGGAGAGTTAAACCTCTCGGTACAGGTATCGTAGGTGATAGCTGGTTGTCGATATGGCACAAACCAATCCTTAGCACTTCCTTGTAGCTGAGCTAACACGTCACGATCCTCGTCTTTCTTGGTCTTCCTTGGCTTGAAGGAAACCTCTGAGTCTGGTAAGAGAGTATTACTTTTTCAATATAAACAAAATGAAAAAATAAAAGTTATTAACAATTTATATAGTTAACTTTGTTAACTTAGCAATAATAGAAAATAAATAGTAATTTTGAATTATTTACTAGAAAATTCACAAAAACAACAAATACATAAATAATCAAACAGTAGAAACTTTTATAATGAAATAAAATAGTAAAAACTATCCTCCGTTTGTACTTTACCGGAGTAACCGTCGTCGTCGTCTTCTGAAGGCGAACCTTGTCGACGGTCCGGTCCTGGAGGTCTGCGGTTCTCACCCTGGAATTGCGATGCAGAAGGTCGAGGTCCTGGAGGCCTAACATAGCTAAGATCCTCTTCAATCTGGGCAGCGATATTTGTCAGCTCCTCAACATCTCGAAACTCTTTTGCTCGGAGAAAATATCTTAATTCTGGACGTAGTAATTCTAGAATTATACTAGTTTCTCGATTACCATGTGCTGTTTCCGGAAATCGGGAAAACAGATTCCGCTTCCTCCCAATAAATGACGTTACTGGCTCAGTTTCACGCTGTCTTTCCCCGTATAGTTGTGTTTTAGCGGCGGCTATAACGGCGGGAGAGTTAAACCTCTCGGTACAGGTATCGTAGGTGATAGCTGGTTGTCGATATGGCACAAACCAATCCTTAGCACTTCCTTGTAGCTGAGCTAACACGTCACGATCCTCGTCTTTCTTGGTCTTCCTTGGCTTGAAGGAAACCTCTGAGTCTGGTAAGAGAGTATTACTTTTTCAATATAAACAAAATGAAAAAATAAAAGTTATTAACAATTTATATAGTTAACTTTGTTAACTTAGCAATAATAGAAAATAAATAGTAATTTTGAATTATTTACTAGAAAATTCACAAAAACAACAAATACATAAATAATCAAACAGTAGAAACTTTTATAATGAAATAAAATAGTAAAAACTATCCTCCGTTTGTACTTTACCGGAGTAACCGTCGTCGTCGTCTTCTGAAGGCGAACCTTGTCGACGGTCCGGTCCTGGAGGTCTGCGGTTCTCACCCTGGAATTGCGATGCAGAAGGTCGAGGTCCTGGAGGCCTAACATAGCTAAGATCCTCTTCAATCTGGGCAGCGATATTTGTCAGCTCCTCAACATCTCGAAACTCTTTTGCTCGGAGAAAATATCTTAATTCTGGACGTAGTAATTCTAGAATTATACTAGTTTCTCGATTACCATGTGCTGTTTCCGGAAATCGGGAAAACAGATACCGCTTCCTCGCAATAAATGACGTGACTGGCTCAGTTTCACGCTGTCTTTCCCCGTATAGTTGTGTTTTAGCGGCGGCTATAACGGCGGGAGAGTTAAACCTCTCGGTACAGATATCGTAGGTGATAGCTGGTTGTCGATATGGCACAAACCAATCCTTAGCACTTCCTTGTAGCTGAGCTAACACGTCACGATCCTCGTCTTTCTTGGTCTTCCTTGGCTTGAAGGAAACCTCTGAGTCTGGTAAGAGAGTATTACTTTTTCAATATAAACAAAATGAAAAAATAAAAGTTATTAACAATTTATATAGTTAACTTTGTTAACTTAGCAATAATAGAAAATAAATAGTAATTTTGAATTATTTACTAGAAAATTCACAAAAACAACAAATACATAAATAATCAAACAGTAGAAACTTTTATAATGAAATAAAATAGTAAAAACTATCCTCCGTTTGTACTTTACCGGAGTAACCGTCGTCGTCGTCTTCTGAAGGCGAACCTTGTCGACGGTCCGGTCCTGGAGGTCTGCGGTTCTCACCCTGGAATTGCGATGCAGAAGGTCGAGGTCCTGGAGGCCTAACATAGCTAAGATCCTCTTCAATCTGGGCAGCGATATTTGTCAGCTCCTCAACATCTCGAAACTCTTTTGCTCGGAGAAAANCCTACCCAACCATACCACACATAAACATGACACTACCCCCGGGGTTTACACAGACGAGCCGGCGAAGCAAGAAGAGCGCCAGAAGAAAGGGCCCTAGCCGGCGGGGCCCAGCCAGGACAAAAGGAGGTCCCACAAAGCGCCTACACCGGCCGCATTTGCGGTCGGGGTAGACGACGGATGGGGCCCACCTACGAAGGCTGTCCAGGCCTACACGAGATGAGGCAGGATAAAGAGGGATAATCCCCCTCGATCCCAAATCATTGAGGCCAATTTCTAGCCATAGAATAATGGCGGCGGTACCATTCTGACAGATATTGGGTTGGTGCTTCCGAACTTCACGAAGAAATTGAAAATTAGAACATGCTCTAATTCGTCAAGAACTTGATGAAGTTATTTGACAGCTGATTTGGTGCATTACACTTACCAAAATTCTTGATGAAGCGACTTCATCAATTAATTGATTAATAAATTGTCAATGTAAAACAGCTATTACAGCTTTTAAGGTATTTCAAACTATTTCTACTTGTAAGATGTTTGCACATTTAATTGGCACATTGGTATCAGCAAGACCTACTGTTAAGTATTCAAGTTTGTATATTAAAACACTAGAAATTAAAAAGAAAATGGAGCTCCTTAAAACTCAAATAAAAATGATCAAGTATGACAATATGACAAGTATGACATCAAAAAATTGATGATTTATTGTGGTGGAAAACTCATATTCCTACTAGTGCAGCACCAATTAGGAAAGATGAGTAGAAACTAGATATTTAGAGATGCATCGCTGTCAGGAAGGGGTGTATGCTGTTCAAATCAACACACGTTTGGTTGGTGGAAACATACCAACCAACAGGTTGGAAGCAACAATATTCAACATATTACAATGTCTTCAATAACAATATAACGACAAACAACTATGTTACAGTTCACTTAATACCCAACGTTCAGCTTTGGCCTTGATTTTATCGGGGGATATAGGTTGATGTAAGATTTTTCAAAGGAATAGCCAAAGTAAGAATTGCCACAATATTGGATTTCCTGGTTCCTTTACTTCCTAATGAAACGTTGTCATTAGAAAAATTGACTAAAAAGTCAGTCAATATTAAGGAAAGTTCCATAGAAGTATTCCGCAATTGTGTTTGCAGAGTGTAGAAACACTAAAATACCTGAATATTTTGTGGGCGGCAAAAACAAATGTAAGATATGTATTATTAAATTTTAGTTTGCATAGACAATTTTCCTAATGACAACCCCTTTATTCTTGACCTGTGAAGAAGCCAGCTGAGCACTAGACTAGTGGGAACTTGTTAATTGTCACCTTCGATTTATATTCTCATTTTTTTGCTCTCAAGATTTTTAACTTTGGGAATTTATTCCCAAAAATTGGATAATTCTTATACATTTTTTCATAGGTCGCTGGTTCAAATCCGGCTCGAAGGACCAAAAAAAATTACGCGCTGAAAGCAAATATTTTTAAGGCCAACCAAATGAATTAAGTAAGTTTATAGGCAACACGACTTACAATTAATCAACATTTACTTAATTTTAGATAAGAACATTTACAAAACATAAGTCGTTAGGTTTGTAATAAAAAAGAGTAAAATGATATGTATATGGTTGTATAATACATGTCTCAAAATAAATACAAAAATTATCAGTAAATTGCAAATTTTCTCATTCTGGATATTTCTTTCTAGAAGATGTTTTGGAACCTGCAAACACTCATTCTTAATAAAATTGAATATGTCACACATGGAGCTATGGTTTGTAAATGCTTCACAGTAGATGTCGACAGCACTTTTTTGTAGGTTTTTTCAAATGTTCTAGACCCTTTAAAGACTTAACTCTTTTTTTAAATATGTATCTTAATAGTTTGTTTAGCTTTATACACTTTCTTCACTTCATTAAAACAACAAAAGTTCTCTTATAATAAAGAAAACAACAATGGTTAATAATATAAAAAATTTTATATGCCGAACATATGATTCTTAAGACTCTTGTGGATGATGGCAGAGGCCCAGTAGTTTTTGAAGTTGACGGCAAAGGTTTAGTTTCGTGGCTACTCTCTTTAATACAATGAATGGCCCCTGCTTTTAAGAGTGTCAACCTACCGATTTTCATGATATATTATCTTTGTTAAACTTAGAACAAATAAACATGACCATGAATATTCATCCCTAAGTGTGTGAAATGTAACTTCTGAATTTGCTGGCAAAAATCGTCGAACAATAACACTAAATTCTCATAAAAACAACGATATTGTCGTATTTAAATAGAAAAATCGCGAAAATAACCTCGAAAACAATTCAGTGAACAACAAAACATAAACAAAGTAAATCAGAAGAAGAGGAAGAGAGTTTCATTGCAGGTTACGTGTGTACTGGTGTGTACAATGTACATTCACTGGCTCCGTGTAGCTGAGCAGTCGCNACCTACCTTGTATAATGAAATGAACTTTTACTATTGTTTCTAAAAAATTAATAAGCGATTATTAAAAATTCCCGGATTTTACTAACCAACTTTTATGATATCCTCGTATAATCCGTTTCACGGTTTTTCCAATCACAAAAACTAATGTCGTCTAAACAATAGTGGACCGTTTTTAACTTTGAAGCACAAACCGATATTTAATAATAATAACTATTGTTAAAAAACGTTAAAACGCAGATAGACGTTGACAAATTAACAATAAACTTTTGTCGATGTAACTTGCAGGGCCCGAGAACTTATACTTGAAAATATGGGGAAACTGGAAACCACGTGACTTGAGATGGATATACAAGTTGGGGAAAGAGTCAATAGATGTCGCCACAAAGATTTTGTAGAATAAATTTTGACAATTGCAATNGGTGGCACTGTGTCTCTTATAATAAAGAAAACAACAATGGTTAATAATATAAAAAATTTTATATGCCGAACATATGATTCTTAAGACTCTTGTGGATGATGGCAGAGGCCCAGTAGTTTTTGAAGTTGACGGCAAAGGTTTAGTTTCGTGGCTACTCTCTTTAATACAATGAATGGCCCCTGCTTTTAAGAGTGTCAACCTACCGATTTTCATGATATATTATCTTTGTTAAACTTAGAACAAATAAACATGACCATGAACATTCATCCCTAAGTGTGTGAATTGTAACTTCTGAATTTGCTGGCAAAAATCGTCGAACAATAACACTAAATTCTCATAAAAACAACGATATTGTCGTATTTAAATAGAAAAATCGCGAAAATAACCTCGAAAACAATTCAGTGAACAACAAAACATAAACAAAGTAAATCAGAAGAAGAGGAAGAGAGTTTCATTGCAGGTTACGTGTGTACTGGTGTGTACAATGTACATTCACTGGCTCCGTGTAGCTGAGCAGTCGACGAAAAGCAGTATAATTTCTTTAGGTATGTGATGATTGTGATGTGCATTGTTTAATATAGGATATTTAAACAATGGTATGTGGTTGTACTCCACAGAACGAGAAACTTATTTATTTCACGTGCCCCTTTCTATTCAAAGTGTGTAAAAAAATGTTATTTTTTCAGTTTCTGATCTGTTTATCAAGGCTTGGTTTCTTTCTTTTAACATAGGTATGATTACTAGAAAATGAGAATTTTTGATTTTTTTTTTAGTGTATTGCTTACTTAAATTAGTGCTTACGATTTCTAATTATGCAGTATTTTTTGCAAATTATAATTGTAATTTCTTAATGAATTTTTCATATCGCCGCCAATGCAATGGTCGGTTACAAAGACGATGGATTTTATTCTAGGTATTATAAAAACACACTGGTGCATGGCGTTTTAAATCTCTAATATTAAGTTACAATTACAAATGTTGCTACCATTAGTTGAAATTTTCGTCCAAGTTAATCCTGTCCTATGCTTAATTGTTTCAGATAAAATAGATAAACATTGACCTCACAAACAAAATACCTAAGTAATTTATAAAAACAATTCGTAGAACTATTCAAATAACAGGTTTGTTTTGGTTCTGTCAGCGGACAGTCCTAGAACAGTTCAAAATAGTTACCCAACTGTATAGTCAGTATGTCTTGGCTTAGATGTTCTTATGAATCGAATGGTCCATTAATTTGAACTGTACCGTTTTAGAACCGTTCTCGTCGGAACCAAAACAGACCTAACGACTCGTATAAATTCGTGGCGGTAAATAACAATAATAGTCCAACAGATGCAGAATGAAAGAAGTTAATTATAGAAAGTTATAATCTAATATTGCGATTTTTAAATTAGTTACAAATTGCTACACATCCTAAGTCTAGGGTATGTCCAAACAGTAAATCAATAGCTGAATAGAGATACACAATCCACAACATTCTGTTGTACCTGTGTACCTGTTAGCCTGTTCGCTTTGTGGGTTGTGATCAAGGATTTTATACAAGTATAAAATCCTTGGGTTGCGATTTGATTTAACTAATTTAACATAACCTAAAAAGTATGCAAGAAAATGTAACGATTTTTTTGTTCTAGTGTTTGATTATAACGTAAACAAACTTATAAATACGAATAATTCTAATTATAAATCAATTTTTTTTTGCAGGTACAATAAACTAGTGACATGGCTGAGAGAAATCTTGATTTTGTTTTCACTAAGGCAATAGACAGTTTTTCAAAGCACCTCCACAAAGAGTTGAAGAAACAAGATAGCAATGATTTATTTTCACCTATCAACATCCATGCATTTCTGACTCTTCTTTCTCAGGATCCTTGGTTTTACAGTAAAGATAGTATTAATAGAGCCTTGTACCTCGATGTTAACACAGCTTCTACACATTACAAAGATATCTTTGATGTTATTAACAGTATTAATAATCTTCTGATTGCTAACAATTCTTTGTTGAAACCAAGCCAAGTTCCAGAAGCTTTTAGAAATCGTCTCAGGGATAACTTTGCTAGTGAAGTAAACCTCTTGGATTTCACTAAACTGGGAGATGTTACCGTGGCAATAAACACATGGGTCCGTGATAGGACTCTCCAGAAAATTTCACCCTTTAGTAGTTTAAGGGATGATGTGAATTTTACATTTTTAAATGCCACAGGCTTTAAGGGTGACTGGGCGGAACCATTCTCTGTGGATGAGACAGTTCCCGCAACTTTTTATTTGAACGAGCAAGATACGGTGCAAGTTCAAATGATGAGGAAAAAATGCCAATTTTATTTTGAGAATAATTCATTTCTCGAAGCTAAAATTTTAAAATTACCGTTTGTCAACAACGTAAACCTTGTAGTTGTTTTACCAAGAAAAGAAATAAATATTAATGAATTTGTTGAACAAATTCCAACAAATTTTTTAAATTTATCGGACGTTTCAAAGAACATGACTAAACAGGAGGTCGATGTCTCCCTTCCAAAATTTAAAATGGAAGAAACTGTGGAGCTGGCACAATACTTAAAGAAGGTAAGACAAAAGCATACTGTTGTACTGTACGATTCAAATTTATAAGATGCACATTTAATTTCTAAATGATTGCACAATTAAAAAAAATTGCCCTAAACAATGGTTACTCTGGTACAAAATTATATTTTTATTGGAATAATTTTATTTCTGAAACAACTATATGAGGCAATTGCTTATACATCTATGAAAAATGTTTGTTATATTTGTTATACAGGTTGAGTCATAACTAACAATAAACAATTTGACTTGAGCTTGTTCTGTTCAAAATGAAGTAATGCTGTAGCTTGCGCGCAAAACTTAACGAGTCCACTGCGACTGATTTGCGAGAAATTATAAAATAATTTATATTAAACACAAGAAATTCTATAGGAACGATACATTTTCCATAGTAAGCATAAGGAATGAAATCAACTTATCACCAAAATATTATGAACATTATAATCTTAGTTTGGCTTTTATCTTAAAAAAAAAAAAGATTTCAACGTGAACTTTTGATACGAAAGTATGGACTTGTTAAGTTTTGCACGCAAGCTATAGAATTGGTCAAACTTATATCAGTCTCAAAATACTTCCATAAAAAGTCACAGGCCTTTAAATAAAATTTGATTTATGATAACTCTCACTTTTTTGGATATTCCAATAAAATTTCGTTTGTAAGCTTATTTCTTATCTAAAATATAGATGTTGCAATTTAGTGGGTGATGCTAATATGTATAAAGAAATTTAATTTGAATTATTAGTGAATTTAAAAAGTAATTCAAGAATTAATGTACTGATGAGTGCTTATTTCTTTTAATATTGCTTAAACTATTTCTATTGGTCTAATTTCTCTGGCTTGTTCACAAACAAGTTAAAATTATTTTTATTACAAAATAAAAAATTATTATTTTCTCCAATTATCTCCAAAATTGGAATCATTTGAACTTAAACAACTTTGCCTAATATAATTGTACGGTAATTTTTAATATGAAATGATTTTTGCTTTATTTTTATTTTTTAATTTCTAACATAATTCAAAAGGACAAATAGTAGTGTTCGACTTTTTTAGAATTCTTTATAATGCATAATGTTTGCCTGTTATTGTACATGTTAAATATTTAAGGGGACATAAATTAATATTAGTTCTTATAAAGGGTCGCTGATATGTATGGAAACGGTCGATTATCTCCTAAAGTGAGATAGCTGTCGAAAAATCATACGACACAAAACGTTTTAGGGTTTTTTAAAATCTATTGCAGTAGACAAAAATTAAATATACAGTATCAGTCAAAAAGTCATGAGGAAACAAACTTGCTTTCTTTTTAACTCCCTGTATATTATTCCTTATTTCAATTCTTTTCGAAATTCTAAACATAATTCATATAGCACACTAGGTGCCCCAAATTATGGATATTTATTTTGAAAATAACAAGGTGGAGAATATGAATATGATTTAATTTTATTATTGATATTTTACAAAAAATTAAATAGTTCATGGTTGATAAAAGTACATGAAGCGAAAAAATATATTTTTTAAATGAATGTTCTGTATATTTTAAATTTTGTGAAAACAATAGCTATGTCAATAAAAAAAGAGTAAACAAGTTTTAATAAACAACAACTATTTTCATTGGAATTCTATTTTTAAAGTGTTTAAAGTGTTTATCATTTACCTTGTGACAGTAATGAATTCTCTGAACAACATTTTGTAGTGAATCTAAAAGAGTGTGTCAATTTTGTGCCTTATCCTTTCCTGCAACTCTTCGATATTTTGTGGGTTGTTTTTATAGACTACATTTTTTGTGTGACCCCACACAAAAAAGTCAAGCGGGGTCATGTCGGGAAACCTAGCTGGCCATTCAATTGCCCCTCTGCGTGCAATCCATTTACCAGGAACAGTTTCATCTAGATATGCCCATAGCACACGTCCAAAATGTGGACGAGTCCCATCATGTTGAAACCATGTGTATAAAATAGAGTCCTATGATCTGTCCACCAATAATGCCACACCAAACATTTACGTTCTGTGGTCGTTGGGTGTGAACTTCCTCCATCCAATGTGGATTTTGGTCTGACCAATATCTACATTTGGGTCAGTTTATGTGCCCGTAAACAAAATGTAGATTCATCAAAAAACAATATGTGGATGACAAAGTTGACATTTTCGTTTAATTTTTCCATAATAACTTCACAGAACTCGATTCTACGATCATAATCATCTTGAAACTTTCAAGGGTAACTTGATGGACTTTAAACTTAATGGACTAAAATATTTTTGTACAATTTATAAGAATCCAGCGTCACTGACGTCCCTGTTCAGGCGCCGAATTTGTGACGTTCGATCATTTTAACTAAATTTTGTTTAGAATTTCAAGAAGAATTGAAATATGGAACAGGGTGTTCCAATTAAAGAAAAAGCAACTTTGTTTCGTCATGACTGTATACTTAATTTTTCTTTATTGTAATAGATTTAAAAAAAAATCCCTAAAACGTTTGCGTCTTGATGATTGATGATGATTTTTGTATAGTTACCTTACTTTAGGACGTATATGTATAATTTCTTGACATTCTATATAAGATGGGGTTGGAAGAAGTGTTTAGCGCCAACCTCAGTGGTGTGATTAAGGATGAGGAACTCACTTGCGATGAAATCAAGCAGAAAGCGTATTTAGAAATAAATGAAAAATGTTTGGAAGCTTCCTCAGGTGAATAAAAACTTGTCTTAACATTAAAGCATTATTTAAAAAATATTCAAATTAATTTTAGCAACTGTGTCAACTTTAATCAAAGCCCAGGAAGAGAAGGTAATATTAAGTCATGTCAACAAACGATATGTAAAATAATTTTTAATAAATTTTCAGGTGCCTCCCAAAGATGGGTTACTAATCTATGAAGCAAATATATCTTCGGAAATTACCAACCGTTTTGCCAAGACCAAAGTGGTGTGGAGGGTGAAGAATACCAACAAGACAGCTGCTGACGCTGACTTTAAAGTCATCTTAACCGATACGGCTTTCATCACGGAATTCATCATGGAAATTGAGGGCAAAAGCTATAAATCGTACATAAAAGAAAAGGAAGAGGCAAAGAATATTTATATCGAAGTAAGTAGGTATACGTTTAGATTCATACTTTTTTTAACACAGGAAAAATTGCAGGCAGTGGCACAAGGGCAAAGTGCGGGGCTCGTCGAAGCAAAGACAAGAGATTCGAGGGAATTTACAGTGTCGGTAAATCTAGAGCCCGATTCGGTGGGGGTATTTTCTTTAACATACGAAGAAATGCTTCAGCGGGTCCACGATCAATACGAACTGGTGTTGAATATTTGCCCGGGGCAAATTGTGGATGACTTGAATATTGAGGTACCAAACTAAATAATTCAAGTTATCTTTTAATTTTATGTCACGCATTAATTTCCTAGGTTCGCATTAATGAGAGTCGACCTCTGAAATTTGTAAAAACGCCACCTTTAAGATCAGGGAATGACATGAATACATCGGAATACGTTCCATACCTCGACCCTTTGTCGGATGTTAAAATAATAAATCCAAAAACCGCTACCATCAAGTTCCGTCCTAATTCCGCAAGGCAAAGAAAAATGACTCATTATCTGGGAAATAAAACGAGCGACGGCTTGTCGGGTCAGTTCGTCGTGCAGTACGACGTAGAAAGAGAACCCCTCAACGGAGAAGTATGATCGAAATCTGTGCCTCAAATCGAAAATTTCACAGTTGCTTTCAGGTGTTGCTACAAGACGGTTATTTCGTTCACTTTTTTGCCCCAAACGACCTAGACCCGTTACCGAAGCACCTCGTTTTCGTGTTGGACACCAGCGGGAGTATGGGGGGAAGGAAAATTGAACAGTTGCAAGACGCTATCATGAATATTTTAAGTGATTTGCGTAAAGAAGACATGCTGAGTATTATCGAGTTTAACAATGATGTGATCGTGTGGGATGTCGACTCGAAAAAATCAGCCACTGTGTCTGCAGATAATATAAAGGATTTCAAGGAGCCTTTTGCCTACTTACAGGTAAAAGCCTTTACACGACTTAGTTTTAACTTTTCCACTTAAGATGATGTAATTGAGTGAGATAATTTGATATTCCTAATTTGTAAATGATTAAAAATTATTTCAACAATTTATTGTCCAGATGATGCCCGACTAAAACAAAATTACCAGAACTGTGAATTACTTTCGAAGGATATTTTGTAGTTTCAAGGCTCTATTGTGAAAAGTTGTGTACAGGGTGTCCCATTTTACTTTCCCATCCTACTTTTCTCGGTTAGTTTTGCAGATATAAAAATTGTGTTAAAATAAAAGTTGTAGTGTTTTTTATGAAGCTTCTGTTTGTAGCAACAAAAAAAACAATTCAAATTTACATGTCGATGTGAAATACACACTTTTTACTTTTTTAATGGAACACCCTGTAAATTATTCCATTTTTAGATGTAAAATTTTGTTCTGGACAAAAGTATATGTGGCATTTATTTTTGACAGTTTTTGATATATTTGCATTTAGTGGCATAAATAATTTTATCGATATTTTGTTTTCAATAATTATTTTGACGTTTATGACAATTAAAATAACAATAAACAGTAGTTGTGGATGAATTTTCGGTAAATTAAAGTGGGAAATATGCAATGTACCATAAAATAACGTAGTAATGCTGTCAAAGTATATTTCAATAACAACAATAATGCTAGCGCCGCTGTCAAAGATTACCAAAACACGTATCCTGACAGGCACACCCTGTCAGCAAGTCCATTTTGCGTTTGACATGAATTTTGGTCGAGTAATGCTTCCAATTCTTCATCTTCGAACTTTTTCGGTTGATCAGGGCGTTCTTTGTCAACTGTATCGAAATCACCACTTCTAAAACGTCGAAACCAATGCTCATATTTTTATCGATGGACTGTGTTCACCACAAGTTTCCAACAGCACTTGACTCTCAGCAGTGCTTTTCTTTGAATTAAACAGATTATTTGACACTCCTGGTATTTCAATAATAGTGAGGAAGTAAGCAAGAAGTGCAGTTTAAAAATCAATTTATTTGATAAAATGAAAAGAACTGATTCTATAAAATTTTTCAAATATTTCTGCGATACCTGAAAATTTCAGTGAATTTGATATACATTTGGTAATTGTTAAAATTTTTTGTCATACAGGGTGTCTCCGTTTTTTCGTTCTTAACTTTGGGAAATGAGAGCGTGAAGAAATAAGAGGAATCTTTCCTATAACATTTTTCCCTATATCGCTCCGTTTTCGTGATACAGTGCGTTCAACTCTCAAAAAAATATGTTAGTTTCTTTATTATCTACTAAACAAATAAATATTTTTTGTTGAAACTTGGTATACAGTATAATAAAAGGTTAATATTTTGACGTGAATAACTTTTTCCGGCTATGGCCAGTGGCGTAGATATGGGATTTTGTTCTGTTTTGAACCCCCTAAACTTCAACGCCAGTGTTGAATAGTATTTTTTCAATACAAATATTAACAACTTATTTTAACTTTATGAAAAAACTGCACTTGATAAAATTCACTAGGAAACTTCGTTCTTGAGATATGAGTTGAGTCTTTTTCTAATCAGGGTTATCTTAAGCATTACAAAAATTTTACGATTAAGCAGGCATTGCTTGTTTCTAAGTTTGTAACAGTAGTATTGACAGATGTCATGTCAAATCAGTTTGTTTGCTGTGCGGTCAGAGTTTGTCGAAGTGTTAGTGTTAGTGATGCCTTTTAGATTTACGAGTCAAGAATATGCAAATATTCATTTTGTTTATGGAGTTTGTGACGGAAATTCCATCGCAGCTGCAACAGAATACCGAAGACGATTTCCGAATGCAAGACATTCATCTCCAGCGGTATTTAGAAGAGTTCATCAACTTTTTTCTGAAAATGGTCTTGTGCTTAGGAGAGAACAAGGTAGACACAACAATGTTGTAGTACGAAATAGAACTATACGTGTTCTTCGATTATTCGAAGAAACAAGATCTATGAGTGTTCGCAGAGCTGCTCGTATTCTTAATATACCTCGAGCTACAATTTGAAAAATTTTGCGTGAAGATCGTCAAAGACCTTACCATCTGCATCCCGTTCAAGCTTTACATCCAGGAGACCACGAACGGCGTTTAGAATTCTGCAATTTCATTCTTAATTCCCTGAATAACAACGAACACTTTCTTCAGCAAATACTGTGGACCGATGAGGCCCATTTTACCCGACGGGGAGTAATTGATTTTCATAATTTACATTTATGGGCTCGTGAAAATCCGCGTGGTATAAGACCTAGAAACTTTCAAGCAGAATTCAGTGTAAATGTGTGGGTTGGAATTTATAAAAATAGTATATTTGGACCTTACATTTTACCAGATAGACTTGACGCCATTACGTTTCTACAATTTTTGGAAACTAATCATAATGATATGTGGGAGGAAGTACCACTTAATGAGAGAAGAAATGCATGGATACAATTGGATGGCTGCCCTGCACATTACGGACGTCAAGTTCGTAGTTGGTTTGATGTAATCTACGGGGAAAGGTGGATTGGTCGAGGTGGTCCAGTTGCTTGGCCAGCTCGATCATCCGACCTTAACTCACTAGATTTTTTTCTTTGAGGCTTCTTAAAGGAAAAAGTATATGCAAGTCCGGTGAACAATAGAGAACATTTATTATATCGTATTCGAAGAGTTTGTACTGAAATAAATAATGACATGTTAATTCGAACAAGACGGTCATTAAGAAATCGATGCTATCGTTGTATTGAAGAAAATTTGAGCATCATTTAAATTAAAGCTGTTATTTTTATTTGTTTAATAAATTATTAATTAAGATTTTTTTAATTTCGCAAGATAACCCTGATTAGAAAATGACTAAATATCTCAAGAACGAAGCTTCCTAGCGAATTTTATCAAGAGCAGTTTTTTCCTAAAATTAAAATAAGTTGTTAATATTTGTATTGAAAAAATACTTTTCACCACTGGCGTTGAAGTTTAGGGGGTTCAAAACAGAACAAAATCCCATATCTACGCCACTGGGCATAGCCGGAAAAAGTTATTCACGTCAAAATATTAACCTTTTATTATGAGTACTGTATACCAAGTTTCAACAAAAAATATTTATTTGTTTAGTAGATAATAAAGAAACTAACATATTTTTTTGAGAGTTGAAAGCCCTGTATCACGAAAACGGAGCGCTATAGGGAAAAATGTTATAGGAAAGATTCCTCTTATTTCTTCACGCTATCATTTCCCAAAGTTAAGAACGAAAAAACGGAGGTACCCTGTATGACAAAAAATTTTAACAATTACCAAATGTATATCAAATTCACTGAAATTTTCAGGTATCGTAGAAATATTTTAAAAATTTTATAGAACCTGAAGTTCTTTTTATTTTATCAAATAAATTGATTTTTAAACTGCACTTAAATTCTTGCTTACGTCCTCACTATTATTGAAATACCAGGACTGTGAAATAATTTTGAGGGATTTACAATAGATGGCGTAACTTATGTTACGGCATCTGTTTAATTCAAAGAAAAGCACTGCTGAGAGTCAAGTGCTGTTGGAAACTTGTGGTGAACACAGTCCATCGATAAAAATATGAGCATTGGTTTCGACGTTTTAGAAGTGGTGATTTCGATACAGTTGACAAAGAACGCCCTGATCAACGGAGACACCCTGTATAGTTTGATTTATGAATTTGTGTAGTGGGAAATAAATAAATAAATTCCAATTTCAGCAATGTATATTGTCAGATCCACACCTTGTTAGTGAGGATATTATAAAAAAAGCAAAAGAGGTCGTTCAGAGCATTAGGGCTAATGGATGCACCTTCATGATTGGCGGTTTAGAAACGGCTTTGTATTTAGTAAAAACGGGACAACAGAAAAACAAGGACAAGGATCAGAAGCTTCAACCCATCATAGTATTTCTGACCGACGGTGAACCCAACGTCGGTGTCTATTGGACAGAAGAAATAGTTGAACTAGTAAGTCACTTTGATTTATAATCGACTGATCTAACTATCGCAAATGTCACTTGTCAAATTCGTAGGTTACTCATCTGAACACGAAAGACAAGGTTCCTATATTTTCCCTGTCTTTTGGAGATGGTGCAGACAAAGACTTTCTGAGGAAGCTGTCTTTGAAAAACCTGGGTTTTTCGAGGCACATATATGAAGCCGCCGACGCCTCTTTGCAGCTGCAGGACTTCTACAAGCAGATTTCTTCCCCGCTCTTGCACGACATCAAATTCAAGTATGACGCGGAAGTGGCGGAAGTCACTAGGACCTGGTTCCCCGTTTACTTTAGGGGCTCCGAGTTGGTCGTTGCCGGAAGATGTGAAGGTACCTACGCGATTTAATAATGTTTAAGAGTTTTATCACAATTTATTACACCGGTTGAATCATTTTCATATAAAATAAATCGTAAGTGCTCCTAAGTTTGATCCCCTTTTCAACACGTTGTAACATTCATGTTTCATAACTTTGCTATTCTTGATATTAACAAAAAGGCGCTCCTGTTTTTTAGAAAAAATAGTCCCGACTGTCATCGACTGTCGGGGCCCCCGCGGTCCTATAATAATAAGATCGGCCACGGAAAGACCCGTAACTTCCCTAGAAAGGCTATGGGCCTACCTCACAGTGAAACAGTTGTTGGACGAGAAGGATTCCTCAGCAAATCCAGAAGAGTTAACCAAAAGGGCCGTTAATTTGGCACTTAAATACTCTTTTGTGACGGACGTGACGTCGCTGGTGGTGGTGAAGCCTAAGGAAACAGTTCCTGTCCTAGATAATTATGTCGCCGATCTTGGTAAGTGACACAAAGTCCATCCACCCATTTTGGTTTTGTTAATCGGCATGAAATTTATTCTTCAAAACAACGTGGCGACTACATTTTTCATATTTTCTAAATGTTTCTTTTCACAGTACAAACTATAAAAAAAAACATTCTGAATTGGCGGCAGATTATTGAAAAGTGCTTTGACAAAACCAATTTTTGTCGCTCAATAAGACACTAGTCAACAATGATGGTTTGATTCTTATTAATCAAACTTTAGACAAAATAATGATAGTTTGGATCATTAAAGGTTACTTTTTCTCAAATACAAATGCTCAGTATCCCATTTTTATATCAGTTTATGCCTGTTTGATAGCAGTTTTTTTCTCTTTGACTTCTAACACACGCAGCCATCTGGAGGCTACCTCCAGTAGTATATGCTCAAAGGTTCTGCTTATTATGAAAATAAGCAAAAAATGTAATGTGTAAATTTTTTTAGGAAAAACTTGTAAAAAATAACCTGTCTTTTTAATGCAGTTTTATAACATATATAGAGTTTCCGTCATCTGTATAATGTTACATAAAAAAATACATTTATATACAGGGTGTTTTTAAAGTAGGTATCACAAATGGTACCAGTGAACCTATAGCCATTATAACGTTTTTTGGTTTTCAAATTACGGCCGCTATTCCACATTTTTTTAGATACTTTGAGAGGCTGTATCTCCTAAGGGGTGAACATTTTATTAAGGTAATTTTTATGCAAAACTTGTTCTTTTTAGCTGTGGATTTACCAGTACCATTTGAGCTACTTCTTTTGAAAACACCCTGTATAAATAAATAAAAGTTGGTTTGTGTGCAACAGTATTAATTCTTTGATTTGTGGAACATCACAAAATATTGTTGAATAGATGCTCAAGTATTATTTACAAGTTTTTAAAATTTCTTAAATATAGCATTACTATTATAGTCACACCATGATTTTACCCAACAATTTTCTTTTTTTAATGCAGAAAAGTCATAGTAACGTGCAAACTTAAAATTCTCGATGCAACTTTGCTTTAAAGAGGAACTAAATTTTCTATTCAAAGATTACTTCTTCCTCTAAAAGAAGAATTAAAAATGGTTTCCTTCTTGTTCACTCCAACCATAGACATCCTGTACATATAAAATACACTGCAAGGCTGTTCAATACACAATAAAAATTTTACTCAATTAGAATTTTTTTATTGTCTTCTATTTCATTATTTCAATTTCTAGACTAAAAATTTTAGGGAAAACTATAAGCTTAATTTTTCCAGTACTAGCGATTAAGCAAATAGAAGCAATATGTGACGTACCCATTTTGCACAAAAATCGTAACCATTTACAGTGTAGTTTTTTTACATACTTGTATAATAAGCTTAAGATAAAGTAGTGTAGAAGGCGCTCTTATTGATTTAATCCTTAAAATAAAGTTTACACTTTTTGTATTAAGAGTTAGTTAAAATATTTATATTTGATGATATAATAAAAATTTTAGGTTATAGAGATATGAGCTGCGTTATGCCACAATCAGCAGTTGCCACTGGTGCACAACTTGATTTTCGTTCCCGAAGTAAGTTTTTACAAAATAAATAAATAAGTTTAACTCTCTTACAGACATGTACAGGGTTAGGCAGAAAGAAATACCCATTTTCAAAGTCAGTTTGTTTCATAATATATAGACACAATCAGTCGCCATGCTTTCTCAATAAATGTCAGTTTAGTTGTGAATATGGATCTTTGGTCCAATATTCAACATTCTTTTGCTGTTGAAATTTATTTTAAGACTAACAATTCTATCGTAACCACCCAGCATCTATTTTGTCGTCACTTTCAATTAAGTTCACGAGATCCAGCTCCCAGTTGAATAACAAGTTGGGTAAACAAGTTTTGCAGTACTCGTTCATGCGCCAGAGAAAAACCCAAATGAAAAACGTGAAAATGCTGAGAGGGTAAGGGCAGCTGTGGAACGAAGTCCTAAACGATCTGCTTTCTGAAAGACTTTTCCTTCCCTACGAAATTCAAATTGTGCCAAAACTTCTGCTACAAGATTTAGGAACACATATTGACTTTTGCAAATGTTTCAAAGCGTTATTTGCTGAAAACCCGGATATCGTCAGGTTATATTAACAAAACGAATTTTCATTATTGGGCAACGGAGAATCCTCAACAATTACACGAATTACCACTTCATAGCAAAAAAGTTACTGTATTGTGCGCAATATTAGCCTTTTGAAGTTTTGGGCCCTTCTTCTTTGAAGAAAATGACTTGCCTGTTACTATTACATCACGTTATCAGCAGGTGTTGCGTAACTTTGAACAACAACTTCGTAATGTTGATGTGGATATTCGACAACTGTGATTTCAGCAGGACGGGGTCACTTCCCACACTGCTAGGGAGTCTATGGCATTTCTGCAGATAATGTTTTCTGGTTGCGTCATTTCGAAATTTGGGAACCTCGACTGGCCGGCACGGTTGCCAGATATCTCTGCTTGTGATTTCTTTTTATGGGACTGCCTAAAGTCAAAAGTATTTTCTAATCGACCTCAAACTTTGGATGAACTGAAAGATAATATTCGGAAAGAGATTGATCCCAATTCAAATGTCGGCGCGGGTGATGCAAAACTTCCGTATTAGACTTCAAGGGTGCCAGCAGTGGGGAGGGGGTCATTTAAATGATGTAATTTTTATAAATGAAATTTCCGTGATTTCTCTAGAACCTTTTTTGATACTAATTAAAACCACTAAATTTAAAATGTATTGTGCCTAACCCTGTATATCAAAAAAATCATTAAGCACTACTTTATTAAGCTGAGAGCAATAAAAATTATTTTTACGCTTTGAAGCATTAAAAACGTGTGTTTACATAAATAAACCTAACCAGACACACCTATGATTAACAGCATAGCTATATTTAATGTATTCCCCCTCTCTCTTTCTCCCCCATCTCTCTTCCACCCCTCCCCCTTTCCTTCTGTCACTCCTCCCCCCCTTTTTTCTCCCTCCCCTTTCCCTCTGTCACTCCTTCCCCCTTCCCCCTGTCTCTCCTTCCCCCTTCCCTCTCTCTCTCTCTCCCTCCCCCTGTTTCTTGTCGCGGACCGGGATGGATCGATCGCGAGTTATTGCAAATATAGGAAGGTAAATATAAAAAAAAATCGAGAACGCGAGACGATCAACAGCAGATAACAGCATTGACAGCGGAGAGTAGGGTTGTCGAATTTTGGTTGTCACACCGCGTTATTTGCAATTAATTGGGAAGAAAACATAAAAGAAGAGCGGGAATTAGTTGCAGATCGTGAACTGCATCGTGTGGAAATCGAGACTAATGACCAAGAGACTCTATCGCGCGATACCAGGTGCAAAAACTTACCACGAGTCCTCTTGCAAACAAGTAGGTATTAAGACATTGTGTACTTACCTGTAATATACATCTTGTGGAGACTTGTGTCTTTTCCTGGGAGAAAGCTTGTCAATTCTGAACTTATACCATCATCAGTGGTTCCTAATAGTAGTGGGTTTTGTCAAGAAACTAATAGTACGATAGCAATAGTTAGTGAAGAAAGACTTTTAATAGAGCTATAGATTTNATCCCTTTTCTGTTTAGAAGAGGAAGGTAGATTCTTCGTCCAAATAGACCTGTTTGCCTTTACACTATTGCTGGAATTTCTAGAAGACATTTTATGGTGGTATAAAAGTGGTTAAATGACTTTTTCTTCGTTAGATTTGCACTGAAAAGATTTAAAAAATTAAAAATTAAAAAAGGGGGAACTTTTTTCAATTGTTTTTAAATTTGATGTTACTAATTTCATCTGAATGCAATTATTCCTCGAATTTAAGGGGTTTCATTTTTGTAATGTAAAATAATAAAAATAGTAATCACCCTTGCGCAGCCATCTGGAGGCTACCTCCAGTAGTATATGCTCGAAGGTTCTGCTTGTTATGAAAATAAGGTTGCCACAGAGGATTTCAAGTTGCTTCTATAAAATATTCAAAAAATCTAATGTGTAAATTTTTTAGCAATAACCCGTCTTTTTAATGCGGTTTTATACCATATATAGAGTTTCCGTCATCTGTATAATGTTACATAAAAAAATAAATTTATATACAGGGTGTTTTTAAAGTAGGTAGCACAAATGGTACCAGTGAACCTATAGCCGTTATAACTTTTTTTGGTTTTCAAATTACGGCCGCTATTCCACATTTTTTTAGAAAATTTGAGAGGCTTTATCTCCTAAGGGGTGAACATTTTATTAAGGTAATTTTTATGCATAACTTGTTCTTTTTAGCTGTGGAAAACACCCTGTTTAAATAAATAAAAGTTGGTTTATGTGCAACAGTATTAATTCTGTAATCACAAAATATTGTTGAATAGATGCTCAAAGTATTATTTACAAGTTTTTAAAATTTCTTAAGTATAGCATTACTATTATAGTCACACTATGATTTTACCCAACAATTTTCTTTTTTTAATGCAGAAAAGTCATAGTAACGTGCAAACTTAAAATTCTCGATGCAACTTTGCTTTAAAGAGGAACTAAATTTTCTATTCAAAGATTACTTCTTCCTCTAAAAGAAGAATTAAAAATGGTTTCCTTCTTGTTCACTCCAACCATAGACATCCTGTACATATAAAATACACTGCAAGGCTGTTCAATACACAATAAAAATTTTACTCAATTAGAATTTTTTTATTGTCTTCTATTTCATTATTTCAATTTCTAGACTAAAAATTTTAGGGAAAACTATAAGCTTAATTTTTCCAGTACTAGCGATTAAGCAAATAGAAGCAATATGTGACGTACCCATTTTGCACAAAAATCGTAACCATTTACAGTGTAGTTTTTTTACATACTTGTATAATAAGCTTAAGATAAAGTAACGTAGATGGCGCTCTTATTGATTTAATCCTTAAAATAAAGTTTACACTTTTTGTATTAAGAGTTAGTTAAAATATTTATATTTGATGATATAATAAAAATTTTAGGTTATAGAGATATGAGCTGCGTTATGCCACAATCAGCAGTTGCCACTGGTGCACAACTTGATTTTCATTCCCGAAGTAAGTTTTTACAAAATAAATAAATAAGTTTAACTCTCTTACAGACATGTACAGGGTTAGGCAGAAAGAAATACCCATTTTCAAAGTCAGTTTGTTTCATAATATATAGACACAATCAGTCGCCATGCTTTCTCAATAAATGTCAGTTTAGTTGTGAATATGGATCTTTGGTCCAATATTCAACATTCTTTTGCTGTTGAAATTTATTTTAAGACTAACAATTCTATCGTAACCACCCAGCATCTATTTTGTCGTCACTTTCAATTAAGTTCACGAGATCCAGCTCCCAGTTGAATAACAAGTTGGGTAAACAAGTTTTGCAGTACTCGTTCATGCGCCAGAGAAAAACCCAAATGAAAAACTTTAAAATGCTGAGAGGGTAAGGGCAGCTGTGGAACAAAGTCCTAAACGATCTGTTTTCTGAAAGACTTTTCCTTCCCTACGAAATTCAAATTGTGCAAAAACTTCTGCTACAAGATTTAGGAACACATATTGACTTTTGCAAATGTTTCAAAGCGTTATTTGCTGAAAACCCGGATATCGTCAGGTTATATTAACAAAACGAATTTTCATTATTGGGCAACGGAGAATCCTCAACAATTACACGAATTACCACTTCATAGCAAAAAAGTTACTGTATTGTGCGCAATATTAGCCTTTTGAAGTTTTGGGCCCTTCTTCTTTGAGGAAAATGACTTGCCTGTTACTATTACATCACAACGTTATCAGCAGGTGTTGCGTAACTTTGAACAACAACTTCGTAATGTTGATGTGGATATTCGACAACTGTGATTTCAGCAGGACGGGGACACTTCCCACACTGCTAGGGAGTCTATGGCATTTCTGCAGATAATGTTTTCTGGTTGCGTCATTTCGAAATTTGGGAACCTCGACTGGCCAGCACGGTTGCCAGATATCTCTGCTTGTGATTTCTTTTTATGGGACTGCCTAAAGTCAAAAGTATTTTCTAATCGACCTCAAACTTTGGATGAACTGAAAGATAATATTCGGAAAGAGATTGATCCCAATTCAAATGTCGGCGCGGGTGATGCAAAACTTCCGTATTAGACTTCAAGGGTGCCAGCAGTGGGGAGGGGGTCATTTAAATTATGTAATTTTTATAAATGAAATTTCCGTGATTTCTCTAGAACCTTTTTTGATACTAATTAAAACCACTAAATTTAAAATGTATTGTGCCTAACCCTGTATATCAAAAAAATCATTAAGCACTACTTTATTAAGCTGCGAGCAATAAAAATTATTTTTACGCTTTGAAGCATTAAAAACGTGTGTTTACATAAATAAACCTAACCAGACACACCTATGATTAACAGCATAGCTATATTTAATGTATTCCCCCTCTCTCTTTCTCCCCCATCTCTCTTCCACCCCTCCCCCTTTCCTTCTGTCACTCCTCCCCCCCTTTTTTCTCCCTCCCCTTTCCCTCTGTCACTCCTTCCCCCTTCCCTCTGTCTCTCCTTCCCCCTTCCCTCTCTCTCTCTCTCCCTCCCCCTTCCCTCTCTCTCTCTCCCTCCCCCTGCTTCTTGTCGCGGACCGGGATGGATCGATCGCGAGTTATTGCAAATATAGGAAGGTAAATATAAAAAAAAATCGAGAACGCGAGATGATCAACAGCAGATAACAGCATTGACAGCGGAGAGTAGGGTTGTCGAATTTTGGTTGTCACACCGCGTTATTTGCAATTAATTGGGAAGAAAACATAAAAGAAGAGCGGGAATTAGTTGCAGATCGTGAACTGCATCGTGTGGAAATCGAGACTAATGACCAAGAGACTCTATCGCGCGATACCAGGTGTAAAAAACTTACTTGACCGTGAGTCTCTTGCAAACAAGTATTAAGATATTGTGTACTTACCAGTAATATACATCTTGTGAAGACTTGTGTCTTTTCCTGGGAGAAATCCTGTCCATTCTGAACTTATACCATCATCAGTGGTTCCTAATAGTGGGTTTTGTTAAGAAACTAATAGTACGATAGTAATAGTTAGTGAGGAAAGACTTTTAATAGAGCTAGAGATCTGTAAGCAGTGCATGCATAGAACTATATACGAAATAAACCCTAAGTCGTAAAGCAATAATCTCGTTAGGTAAAAGTTATATACAGGGTGATACTGTTTACCCTAATTCTAAGACAATCTCAGTTGTGCAATATATTATGACCTCAAGGGAATACGTAGGCGCTTGTGTGCCCCGTCCAACGATGGATGTAGAGGAAGAGAGACTCCAGGAGTCTCTCACTTCTACAGAATCACTGGAAGGTGTCTTCAGTCGGGAGGGACAACCTGGAATCAATATTGACAGTTCTCGGCCAGATTGGACTAGAGAACGACCTCAACTGGAATTGAGGTTTTCAACTGACGGAAACTCAGCCTTAGCGACGATCAGGCATGCACACGAAGTCGCGTGGGCAAGAACATTCCCTCTGCCCCTCCCTCCCCAAACTATCTCTTTCTCTCTGTGACTCGTCTTCGCTGTCGCCATAAACGTGCTTCTTTCATGTAGTATATGCTCTAAGTCTGGAACCACATGCATGCGAAATTGCTTAACCACAGTTCCGTTTTAACCACATGACCATCAACATTCAATTGTGCATCAGATCATTAACAATTTTATGAATTCAATTTTTTATTTATATTAGCCTTGAATTAAAATCTTATTTTCTTGTTTTCTTTTCTTGAAGGAGCCCGATGCTTGAGTGCTAGGGGTAAGTAAAATTGCGATTATTTTTTTAAATGTTTCAGTAAACTGGTCAATTAATATCCGTAACCTCACGCTTTTAATTAATAAAGGCGGTCCTACAATTCACGCAAGAAGTAAATTTTATAGAAAATAATTAAAAACAAGTAAAAATTGTAAATTTTTTATTGTTTCATAAAGAATACAGTTAGGGGTTATGTATGGAATACCGTATCGGGTAAATGGTCTCCAGGGCTTTGCTGGTACATCTGCACTCTTGTCAAAATTTTCGATGACCATTTTTGCATAAATGCAGCCGAATTTCAATGATACAGTGTTCAATTTCCTTCGAGGCATAGGTGGTCGTGGGTTTGTTGGCATAAACCTTAGACTTCAAAAAACACCAAAGAAAAAAGTCCAACGATATTAAATCGCATTATCTGTGCGGCCAATTGCGACCACCAAAATGGGAAATTACACGATCAGGAACTGACTCGTGCAGTAACTGAATTGTTGCTCAGGCTGTATGACCTGTGGCACCGTCTTGTTAAAACCACATGTCGTCTACATCCATATCTTGCAATTTAGGTATAATTATCATGTCGCGATAGCGAGCGCCATTAACTGTTGTTGCCAGACAAGCCGCGTTTCCGCGCAATCCTCACCAAATAATAACACGTGGATGCATTTGTTTCTTAACAATCACTCGTGTATCCTCTGAACCCCAAATGCGACAATTTTGTCGATTAACGAAGCCATCGAGATGAAAATGAGCCGCATCGCTCGTTCCATAATCCATTCATTCATCCATTTTTTAATTAATCTCTTCACAGCTGATGAAGATAAATTACTATTTTGAATTTTGGAACATCCGACATTAATTTTTTCGTAACATTAGGAATGCAGTAAAAAGAATAGACCAGTTATCTTTTATTTCAATTTTTGACATTCCTATTTCCTTTTAACAACAACCCCTCTCTATGTTTTTAGGGGTACAAGCGGATAGTGATATTCTTAGGAGTTTTAGAACTTTTGGTGGTGGCGGACCATCAGGATTTGTTGTTGAACGTGAAGGTTAGTAATGATTTCACTTGGCTCACATCAAAGTTTTTAATTTTGTATATAAAATTACAATAAGAAATAGTTGTATTATTAACACAAAATGAAGTATGAAAATATTAACCCTAACTATTGTAATTGTTAAAATAATATTGAAAAGCTTATAAAAAAGTGGTACTAGAGGAAAGTGTGACACAAAAATCAAATGCATGGTTTTTATCACTGGTTCATGTTATACATTCTGTCAAAAAAGTATCCGGAATTTGTCAATAAAAGACGGTATATTCAATTAATCATCAAAATTTATTTTGTCCTTCAAAATAGTCTCCATTTGAACCAATATACTTTTCCAGCGAACAAATCGGTCGTCAAAGCTCTTTTAAACTCATATTCCAGTATGGACTTCAACTCTTTCAGTGATTTTTGTTTTGTGGCTTCTATTGACTCGAAACATGTTTTGGTAATTTGAGTTTGGGAAACAGAAAAACGTGAGCAGGGGCCATATCTGGCGAATACAGTGGCTGCTCGACAGCGTTGCCATACGTCCCGATTTTGGCGGGACGTCCCGCTTTTTGACCCAAAATTAAATGTCCCGCCTTTTCCACTCTCAAATTACTTTCTCGTTCGTCAACGTCCTCATTATTTTTTTTAAGACATCGATATATTTGGAGACAATTTGTTTCTCAGATATCCTCTTTTTTTTTTTTATTAGGCATCAATTATACATACCCGTAGTACGTCCCGATTTTGGACGAAACTGCTCGATGACGTGCGTTGAGTTTTTTTTCAAAAATTCATTCACAATTATCTCTTTGTTTGATAGTGCATTATCATGGTGCAAAATCCAGGAATGGTCCTTCCATAAATCTGGTCTTTTGCGCCGATTACTCCCCCTCAAATGCCTCATAAGCCCAGATAATATACTTTGTTGACTGTTTCTCCGTACGGAACGAATTCTCTGTATAGTCAAAGAAATCAATCAACATGACTTTAATTTTTGATCGACTTTGATGTAGTTTTTTTGGTTTCTGCTCGTTAGAAAAGTGCTATTCCGATGCTTGTTGGCCCGTTTGCATGTCAAACTCCTAAACCTATGTCTCGTCACCTGTTATGATGAGTTGCATGAATTTAGAGTCCGAATTAGATCGTTCAAGCATGTCTTCAGCAACATGTTTGCGATGCTCTTTTTGAAGAAACTTCAGCTCTTTTGCAATCAGCTGTGCTGCGACGCGTTTCATACCCCAAACATTAACCAAAATAGTGCACACTGATTCGTGAGATATGTTTAGTTTATATGTCAGCTCTTTCAAAATAATAACGGTTTGCAAGTACTATTTCCTTCAATTTATTGATGTTTCCTTCAGTCGAAGACGTTGAAAAACGTTCACAACGTGGCAAGTCATCAAACACTTCTCGACCATGTTTGAATGCTTTATATCATTCGTATGCTTGAGTTTTCGATAAAACTGAATTACCGTACGTCTTTCCCAACATTTTCAATGATTCAGCATGAGAAATTCCGTTGGTAACTCAAAATTTTAGGCAAACTGTTTGTTCAATAACATCCATAGTAAAAATCCACTTTAGGTGGACTAACAAAATTAACAGCTGTGAACAAACTACTTGTAAGATCGCGTCAGAGTAGAGTACAGTGCTATCAATGTTCTATCAAAAAAGAAATTTAAATCTACTCTTTTGACAGAATGTATATGAATTGATATCACAATATACAGAGTGATCATAAAAGTTTGCAAATTTTCTTTTTTCTTCCATGGCATATGGTGCAATCCAAAAATAAATTACTTCCAACATACTGTTCAGAAACTAATGCAAGCTTTAGCTGAATTCATACATCACCCTGTATATCCACAAGTTGTGACACAGGACATTTTATATGGTCATTTCATAGTGCCCTAGGTTACCCCACTCTACCATTACAGTATGTGCAGTTCCTCAAGAAATGCCCTGTGTTTGAAAAATAAATAATTTTGAAAAAGCATAAAAATACCTTTACAGAATAGATATAATTTTTTATGCACCATAAAATGTTACCTTGCACAATATATAAATAATATATGTCAAGTATTTTACATTTGCTTATTCGATATGGAACAAAATTCTTTGTCAAAAGTATAAAGAACTCTTATAGAGGAGTCAAAATAAATTAATACGAAAAAGACAATAGTTGGAATTTAAATTTTTTTTTTGAAAACTTATTTAGAGATTTTTTTATTTAACAGATTACGTAGCTTGATGCATTTCTGAAACTTTAGGTAAATTTATAACACAGAAATTTTTTTTACACCCACTTCAACTTTTACTGAATTCTGTACTTATTTTACCAATTGTCTACCATCATATTTCTTTTTTTTATAAACCAGTCGTTTCTCTCCATTGTGTAATTGAATTTACTTTGTTGAACGGTGTATCAAATAAATAAAACATGTTTCAGATATGGAATGTGATTCCGGAAAGAAACCTGCAGAAGAGTTTACGGCCGACCATCCGTTCTTGGTTTTCTTGCAGGTGGAGATCGACGATGCCGTTTTCATACTTTTCCGGGGTTGCGTTTATAAACCCACTTATTAATTATGACAAGCTTGTGCTATGTATTTTTTCTAGCGCGACATACTGGCTTACTCGAGTAAGATTCACTTTATAAGACCTGTCACTTGACTGTTTAAGGAGGCCAGAAATCTTAAACATTATTTCTAGACAATAATAACATTCCATTCACCACTTACTTGCGTACGATGGAGAAATTTTACATACCAAAGTTTACCAAAGGGAATTCTCTCACTTGATCAGGTTATCGACTTGCTTGTGTGGGTTGGTGTACCGATTAAAAAATGGCTTAAATTTTACAATAATTAGAATCATGTATATGATGCTTTTTTAAGAAAACATATATTAGACAGTTATAAACTACATATATTTTATATAATATTTTATGTTTACTAGTTTTTAATGTTGTTTAATGTACGTAAAACTATATATTTTATTAAATCACTACTGCTTTGACGTTATTTTTTTTTCGACATTGACAAATGTACATTCTACAATTTCATCCAATAAGGGAAAGTTACATACAAGTAAGTGTGTTCTTAAAGTGACGTAAAAGTTCAAAAACAACTTCGCCAAAAAGTGCTTCATTTACAGTCGAGTGCTTACTTCGCCACCTATGGGTGCGAGCTTGAAACAAGCTTTTTCTTAAGGTATGTATACTATTTTATTCACAATCAGTAATCATTGAGCTTTAATTTTTTTTTGTTATTCTGCAATTTTTTTTTATATAAACAGGAGACTAATTTTACTGAAAGATTATTAATTTTCCTGTTTTAATTCATTTTTTCATTATCTATTCCGCTCTAACCGATCATGTTTCATGGGTATTTCAGTGCTGGGGCTTGATTTTTGAAAACAGGAGAATTAGTTCATTAGAGAAAATTATGTCATTTTCTCTTGACACACAGATAATGTGATTTTTGAAATTTTCTTGTGGAATATTTTCTCTAGATATCAAGAGAAATAATTCCACAGGGTTTTGTCGGGGGAATTGGCGTTTTCTCCGAATAGTTTGAATCCAAATGTCATCTCATGCTCATGCGCGAATTGTCACTTCATTCATTCGCTGTTCGAAGGTGCGTAATCATTTGAAATTTGTAATGGATCCAAATAATTTATTATTAATTCTAAATATAATGAATAATTTGCAAGCTGCAGAAATTGTAAACCATCCGCGACAACATTAATTAAACCATTTAAAGTTTCAGCAATATCTGACCACTGTTTTTGGGCCTTTTTGTGAGTGAAAGTAGAAGAAAACTTTCATTTTAAAAAGTTCTTCGTTGTTTCTAAGCATATTAATTTCTTTTTTGCGCTTTCGACGTGAACGAACGCTTCATCATAATTATAATAATATTAAATTTTTTGTGTTTTCAAATATACTTCTATTCAAATTGAAGTTATATTAAATTACTACGAATATCATGGAGATGTCTAGTCTCCCTGACGAATATAATGACATTTACAAAACAAACTTCAAAATCAAATCAAGTGACTAAACATCAGGGTCGCCAATAATGGCACTGAAATATTGAAGAAAACTCTGCCCGCTGATTGGTCAGTTGCAAATATATCCTCGACATACGGCATAAATTAAATTCTCTAGAGAATTGGATTCCTTCAACGTTAAAAAATAAGCGTTTAAGTTTTTAAGAGAAATTTGTCAGGTGAATTTTTTCTCTGGAGAATCAGTTCTCCTGTTTTCAAAAATCAAGCCCCTGGAGAGAGTCAGTATGGTTGAGTAAGAATTCATTGTGATTCAGAAAAGGAAAAGGTTCGACCAATTGATTTCAAAATTTACAAGCTTTTTGGGCATGTATTGAGCTAAAAAACCTACAAGCACTGGCACTTTTCGCAACATTTGCGAAGTAGTCGTTGATTTTCCAAAACAGCAGAAAAAGTAATTTTTTTGTACTTCAAATTAATGCTAAGTATAAAACTTTTTTTTTCAAACATACCAAAAGGCCCTTGAAGATTTAGGTTTCTAAAACCCACCTTCCATTCCATGTACGATCATTAGTTCACGAGATATTGATGATAAAAAAGGCGACTTTTCACAATCTGTCTGCGTTTGGTGTCATTAAATTTTCCATTAGTGTAAATGCATTATCGCCAGTAAATATAAATGGTCAAGAATTGTTACTAGAGGATTTTGATCCCTTGATCCCGATTATCGGATTCCTGACCACTTTTCAGTCCCGATATTATCGGGATTAAGTTTTCCTGATTCCGAGATTTTCGGTATTGACATCATTTTAAAAGTTGCAAAATAGACTACGTGAAGCAAAACGCTCACCGCCAGTGCTCCCAACAGAATTGCTTGCCTATCTTAATATAAAATATAAAAAGTTTTATCCCAAGCGTGCAGCATAAATTAACCCAGCAGGCTTGCGTGGAACAAAACTATTTGTATTTTGAACTAAAATGACTTGCAAGCAATTTTCACTGGGTTACTTGGTGATATACTTATATTTGTATTTTTGAATTTTCGCGGTCGCCAATCGATTTTCTGCCTCAGATTATTTTTAAATACTTTTTGCTAAGAAACTTATTTTAGTACCTACTTATTTGGTTGTTACATGAAAGTCCTCTATTTAGTGGATGTTCAGAAATTTTTGTTAATTTTCAGTTTATTTGCAGTTTGTTACATAAAGGCTTTTTCAATTTATGTAAGTTTAGAGATCCCATTGATTCTGGAAAAAGAATAACTTTAACATAAAGACTGTGATTTTAAGTCTGGTTTGACTCTAGTCTCTAAATCTGTTTAGAGTGACTAGATTAGGTAAATGTATACAGCAACATACGTTGATTTTGATCTAAATTTTGATTACTTTGATTTTTGTCTAAATTTTGATTTGTTGATTAAAAAGCTAATTTCTCTAAGGTTTTCCTATTTTTAATGTGTAACCCTCAATAGCGGACAAAATAAAAAATAACCATTTAGACATGAATGTAATAGCAAAAACAATTTTTCTTTTAATTTTGATTTTTGAAATATCCGCTGTTTGCCTCAATGCATTTTTGACATCTCTTTAAGAAATTTCTTCTAACTGTTAAGAATGTTGGAAGAATATGCATATCATTTGCTGCTGCCGCTATTCTTTGCCACAATTCATTTCTGATACTAACAGTAGAGCCAGAATAAACTAAAGTTTTAATATATCCTAATAAAAAGAAATCCAGAGGATTCAAATCTGGACATCGAGGAGGCCATGGATGTTTCACTCCCTCGTCCAATCTATCGATGGGGGTACACGTTATTTAAATGTTTTTTACTGTAGAATGAGCAGGAGCACCATACTATAAGTACCACATACTAGCCCAAATATTTAAAAGGATCATCTAGCAATTCGAATAAGTCATGCTGGAGAAAGTTTAAGTGATCATGTTCATTCAATGCTGCTGAAAGTTCAAAAGGTCTTACAAGGTGATTTTTGACTATGCCAAACCAAACATTTAATTTAAATTTGTGCTGGAAGTGACGCACACTTGTACAGTTTGGGTTTTCCTCGGACCATGTGTGACAATTTTTATAGTTGAAAATGCCTTGTGTGAATGTCTTCAACAAATTCCAATATCGCTTCCACCTTCACCAACCACAGGTCGCCCATGACGTCTTCTTGGGCGAAAACTTCCAGTTTTCCTTCTACTTCTAGTGGTTGGTCCTAAAAAGTCCCATAGCACTGCGGCCTGATTAGGCCTATTGTGCGTCCCACTACTAGTCCTATTCAGTCCTATTATGAGTCCTGTCACTCTCCTGAGCCGGATTCTGCTCAAACTCAGTAAATCATTCGCTCTTTCCTTCGAAGGATACTCCATGAGCTCCTTAGAATGTCTATGTCCTGGCCTTGAGGTCCAGTATTTCCTATGTTCTGTCTCAGTCCATTTGCCCAGAGCCCGCCTGACCACACTGGGAGATGTGCCACAGAAGGGCTCCGGGCCAATGAACTGAGTCCATATATTCCTGCACCCGTCCCTCTGGTCATTTTGGAGCCATCTGTAAACCATACTAGGCTCCACCTTTCCAGGGTATTAAACTTTTCCTCCCATTTGCTTTGATCCTCTATTTGAGTCTTAAAAGGCTTGTGGAAGTGAAACCTTGGAACCATCTTGTCGGATACCATCCCAAGAATTGGTTCCGACATAGATGTATCTTTGAACCTGGAATAAGAACTACCCCTCCAGTCGTTGTTATTCCTGAGTCGATATGCTGCTAGCCACGCTTCTCTTTCCACCACTATCTGCAGCGGTGGCACATTTAGCATGACTTCTAGTGCAGCTGTAGGAGTCGATGCCATCGCCCCCGTTATACCTAAACAGGCCAATCTCTGAATTCTATTCAGTTTTTCCCTCGCTGGGCATAAACTGTTATCGTATCGGTGATTTCACTATGTGAGATTAAGTTATGTCGTGGCATTGTACCAACATTTTATCACACAAGAATCTAATGGTCAGAGGTTCAGTAGTTTTTTAAGTTGACGGTAAAGATTTAGTTTCGTGCTACTCTAAGTTTGAATTTTTTGTCCATCCCATTCCATGCCAAGAACATTTAGCCACATACGAAATCTTTTATCTTTTTAGGAAAACTATAGAAAAAAGCACTTCAGTATAAAAAGAATTTTTTAAATTGTTCGCAGTGAAAGATCACGAAATACGTAGACACCCGTGTAAATATCGGACTGTACCTTTCCTGTTGTATTAATATTAATAGCGTCATAAAAGCATCCTGCAGGGTGTGGTTATATTAATAGTACTTAGTACTGTACATAGAATAGAAAAGTATTTCCTTTAGACATTAGAAAATTGTATAGGATTATTAAGTCAACAAAACATTACAAATAAAAACACATAGATAATAATTATATAACATTAACACATTTAAGTATAATACAACCGGACACATTATTATTTAATTTAGATCACTAACACAATAAAATTTTTTTCTATTAAATAATATTTTAGACATTCTTTAAAACGTCTTAAGGGTACTGGCACTTTTTATTCCGTTGGCAGTAAATTATATGTCCTTAAACTTATACTATCTGAAGATTTGTATGTTATATTATATTTTTTAAAAGGTACATGAAAATTATCTTTCTGCCTGGTATCTTTATTATGTAAATTTAATTTCAAAGGGAATTTGTTACGGTTTTGAAATTTATAAATATACAACTCGTATATGTGCAGACGAGTTTGTGTTAAAATGTTTAGATCTTTAAAAACATTGTTACAGCTACTGTTCTAGGTAATCCTATTTGCATTGCGTTTTAGCAACAAAGTTGAATTTTTGAATAGGTATTAACAAATTTAACATGTTAAACTTACTTTTATAATTTGGCCCTTATGGATCTTAAAAGTTGTTTCTGAGCAATAAATACATTTATAGCAGAAGACTCCAACCCCAGAAGCATATACATTAGTGATGTAACGAATGCCAGTTTTTAAGCATTCGCGAATGCGAACATCTGTTGTTGACATTCACGAATGCGAATACGAATATTCAGTTTTTAAATCTAGCGCCATTTATGATTCAAAATATGCCGCGCGCGACGCACAATATTTCTGGTGACAGGTAACATAAAAGAATTAAGATAGTGTTTGTTTATTTTTTTTAAAGAAGTTTAAGATTTGTTTTTTTTTTCTTATAGAAGTTTTTATTCTATACATTCCTTTGGGATATTATATATCATTCCTTTGGGTCTTTAAGATATGGCGATTTTTTGAATCTCATGATTGCTACACAAGACATTGCTGAATCAATAGATAATGGTCATCAAACTGTTATATAATATCTTGATTTCACTAAAGCATTCGACCGCTTAGATCATCATCTTTTGCTCAATAAGCCTCAATAAGCTTTCACATTTTGGTCTCTCTAATGACTTAATTGCGTTGTTTACGTCTTATCTCAATTGTCGTACTCAATATGTTGAAATTCGTGGCTTTAAATCAACTCGATATGTTGCAGTATCAGGCGTGCTACAAGGTTCCGTGTTAGGTCCACCGCTATTCAATATTTTTATTAATGACATAGGTCATAAACTCAATGCAAAATTTTTGTTATACGCTGACGACGTAAAATTGTATAAAAGAGTCGAATGTATACAGGACTGTATTGAACTTCAAAAAAATCTGGAGGTGATTGGGGAATGGTGTATATCAAACGGGCTTCAATTAAACATTAAAAAATGCAATAGTATGTCATTTACTAAAAAAAAGACGCCAACTGCATATCACTATTCACTGAATGGCAATCGTCTAAATGTTTATCAAATTATGTGTAGACAAAGACTGATCAAAACAATACTTAATTAGATTACCTACATACATACATATTATACACACATATAAACATAGTATTATTTGTTTTCTAGTGTCTAAAGAAAGGTGACTAATTAACACCAAATATAAAGGTTGATTATAGAATTTAATGAATTAAAGAATTATGCAGCCGATTTTTAAAATTCGATTATCTCGAAAACCGTTAAGTTTAGAGGTTGTTAACAAGTATAGTTTTGTTCTTACAATTCCGTGTCTTTAATATTTTTTTCCCAAAAGAGCGCCACCTTGATGGGCAAAAAAGTTTAGCGTACATTTATGCCACACGTGGCTTATGTGGCGCCCTCTAAAAGATACATTAAATTAGATACCAAATTATGATTCCTCATACCAACAAACCAGCAGTTAAAATTTTTTTTGTATAAATGTCCAAAAATGTTCAAGTTATTGCGAAAAATAAAATTTGAAATTTCACTTTTAACACCCTGTATCTTTCTTATTATCAATATTTTATTAAGGCAAGTTGGCTCCAATCGTAATATTTTCAAGTCACAAATCTACCATACTTCTGTGTACAATTACTTAAGGACCACCCTGTATAATAGAAATAATATCGGTCCCAATACTGAACCTTGTGGAACTCCAACGTTTACTCTCAAAAGCATAGACTTTGTATTATTATTATTGCATTTGAGGTTTACATATTGATTTCGATCTTTTAAAAATGAACCAATCCATGTCAGAGCACCGTCAATTCCATAGCACAATTTATTGAGTAGTTTATCGTGATCAACGCAGTCAAGTGCCCTGCTTAGATCACAAAAAACCCCCAATGTGATTTTCTGTATATTCAAGAGACGTGAAGAGTTCACGAAATGTAATGATTAACATAAGAAGTAAAATTATGCATTTTTCCTTATTCTGAATTTAGTCCCAGGTCGTAAACTGTCTTACACCCTGGAGAAAACTTGTACAATGGGTACAGTGAAGAGATATTGTTTCTAACTTGTTTAGACTAAAATCCTCGTCAGAAGCCTGCTATAAATTAAATGAAAATTATACACAAAAACGCCCCCCTTAACAATAAATATAAAAAAATAATAAAAATTACACAAATTAAACCCCTGGAGAAGAAAAATAGAAAATCATAAAAGTGCAAAAAAGTAATATGTCAAAATGGCTGCCAGGATATAATTGCTGAAAATATATACATCGAACGTCTTCCATCGGTCTTCTCTCCTATACCGAAATGCAGGTGATACAGTTTAGTAATCTATAACATTAACATCTGCACCGAGTTTCTTAACATCGCCGGTGCAGATGTTAACGTTAGGAGAACTTCTGCCAATACACGAGAACCTTTACAGCTAGATCCCCGTCATCTTGCCTCGGTAGTGGAAAGTTGTTTCGTACAGACTCATAATATCCAATATTGATAACTGCACCAAGCTTCTCAATATCACTGGTGCAGATATCAATATTAGGTAAATTGACCCTGCCGTACAAGGCAACGGAGGTTACATCTATTTACCGATGACAACTAGTCCTAAAAATGTACAGACGGAATTAGATATTGATTTCATAAAAAAATACGAAGGAGAAAACATACCTGCTCTTGTAATATGATCGTAGCCCTGTTCTAAGCACGTTTGGTACATGAATCTATCTGCAATACTACATAAGAAAAAAATTAAAATTTGTCCTATTTATAACGAGCGTTCAAATAAAAACGTGGTCAAGTTGGTTCTGAAAATTTGGACGTAGGGCGTAGCGTATAGCAAATGAACTTAAACGTCATCTGTCAAAGTGCTATATCGCCGCTATCAATTTGAATATTTTCGTTTTAAAAAGCGTTTAAAATGCTGTTTTCTCAAGAACAAAAAGTGTTTATCATAGAGTCCTACTTTAGAAATGGACGCAAGATTGATGGAATATGGAAGTATTCTATTGAGGAATGTTTCATAGAATTTCAAAATCAATTTCCCGGCGTTGTTGAGTACAAAATTTTTCAAAGTGCAGTTCAGCGTTGTGTTAATGTTTTTCGTGAAACGGGCAGTGTAACAAGAAAAGAAGGAAGCGGCCGACCTAAAAAGCGGACTGAAGAGTTAAAAGTAAATGTCCAAAAAATAATGGAAAATGCGCCAAGAACTTCTGTACGTGTTTTATCACAAATGGTGGGAGTATCAGTCGGTACCTGCCACACAGTGTTAAAAAAAGATTTGCGTTTGTTCTCCTATCGTTTAACTTGTCAGCAAGAACTTTATGAAGTTGATTATCCGCGACGGGCTGTATTTTGTGAGTGGTTTTTAAACAACTACGGTGAACTTCATAATATCACCTTTTCTTCTGATGAAGCCTGGTTTCATTTAAGTGGTTACGTAAACTCACAGAATATGAGAATGTGGTCTTCTGAAAAACCAGATAACTTTTTTGTTGAGGGCCCTCTACACGCTCAAAAAATTGGAGTTTGGTGTGCTCTCAATCGAAGGAGGATTTATGGACCTATTTTTTTTAATGATACTCTTACTGCGCAAAGGTATAGAGAAGAAATTATTGCTCCTTTTGTTAACCAGCTGGAAGAAAACGAAATTACAAACTTTTACTTTCAACAAGATGGCTCAAGGGCACAAACAGCAGGCGAGACGATGAATATGTTGAGGGAAGTTTTCCAAAATCGACTAATAAGTCTCAATGCTGAACATGAATTTCCACCGAGGTCATGTGATATTACGCCGTGTGATTTCTTTTTGAGGCCTTACCTTAAAAACACTATTTTTGAACTGCCTGTTCCTGATTTAAACCATCTGCAGGCTCGACTTATAGACAAGATTCGTGAAATTAACAATACCCCGAGCATCTTAGAAAATGTCTTTAATTTTTTGAGGAACAGGTGTGAAAAGTGCTTGGAACAAGGAGGGGGACACTCAGCAGCTACTTTAATTTAATTTTATAACAAGGAGGGGGACACTTTCCGCAGCTCCTTTAATTGTTTGTTATTGTTATAACGATTATTCTTTAAAATAAAGTTATATAGTCATTAACGTTATTGAAACTGATAGCTGCTATACAGCTCCTTGAGAAATGAGGTTAAGTTGGTCGCTATAAGCTACTCCCTACATCCAATGTGTCAGAGCCAACTTCGACCACGTTTTTATTTGAACGCTTGTTATATCTTGTCAAGGTTTCTCTTGGGTGAGCTGTACTTTCACTTAATTTTATTTACACAAATATTATATCACCAAGATAGTATCTACTTTCCTAATTTCATATTAAATATTTGATTTAGATAAAATTATTTATTTATTGAAGTAATAACTGATAACACTATTTGAAAACCTCCTTAATTTTTATGTACATTATTAGATTCAAGGGGATAGCGTAGCTTGTAAAGTCAATACTATTGGTATCGTGTATATTAACAATTTTAAATTATTGTTAGATAAAATAAACTGCTGAAAAAAATTAAGGGAACAAAAAAATTCATAAATTTTTTAGTGATTTTCGAAAGGCTGTGTGAAAAATAGTCGTATCGAGATAAACAAAAATCATTTTGAAGCTGAAGTCTCTAGTTTCATGATCTTTACTGAAACTTGAATAAATTCCCTACAAGGACCTGTCATGGTTTTTGAAAAAAATAATTTTTTTTCATCTTTAACACAATATAAAAAAAGGTCAAAAAAATTGTTTTTGCTTTTTATAAAATCTACTGCTAATACTAATAATTGCAGATACAGATCTTGAAACTAGAGATTTAAAGCCACAAAATACTTTTTTTATCTTGGCATGATCATCTTTTACTTTCGAAAATCACAAACAAATTCATGAACATTTTTTGTTCCCTTAATTTTTTCCAGTAATGTATTAAATTCAGAAGAATATTGCATCAAGATCGATAAAGAAAAGATTGTACTATTACTAAGTACTACAAATCTTTTTCATTTAGATTACAACACTTAGTAGTAACTAGGCACGATACAGGTAGTTAAATTATTACGTTCGATCAAAATTCAATATAAATTATTCTACAGTTTTTGAACAATTTATTGAAAAATATTATAAAAGGGACATAACACAATAAATTCAAGTTAATTTATTAATTATTACATTACCTAATTAATTATACTTATTTTGTGTGGAGCAAAGTGATTTTGCAAGGTGATCCCAGCAATACATCGTCAAATTTGCTAACTTATTTTCGTTCTATGAAGGACTCCACTCATCCCCTTTTATAGAAAATTTTGAAACTCCAAAAACATTGAAGTGGAATCTCCTTCCTTTTTCGTAACTAACCATTTCCTTGGCTAAGAACCTGTAAATACATATTATTTTCAATTTTACCAACTTTCTATAACATTGCAGCGTTACGAAACATTTTACAGGCGTCTCAACAGCATATTTTACATATTAAAACATTACGATTTAACTCAACAAAATTGGTTTTCATTATTTTTAAGTAGGACCTTTAGAAAATTACAGATATTTCACAAATCCTGGGGATCGAAGTTTCTTGAGGCGCCAAATTCAAATTTGATCATAATTTTGCTGTTACTTATTAGAGGGCGCCACTTGCGGAACATTGCAGGTCTTTAAAATGTCAAAACTTTTTTTGCTTCCAAGTATTTCTGTTTCTTTGATATATATTTTTTTCTTTTTCCCATTTTTTTTCTATTTAAAAAAGGTACACTTTTCAACCATTAAAGTTTTCAATGCAACGATTTTAAATTATTTGGTATAGGGATATGTATGTACACTTTTCCAAGGTAGGAAAACAAAATTAATAAAAGATGTTTTCAAACTGTCAAAAAATAATAATAATAATTGAGAGTGAAGGCAAGAGTATTGTAAAATTATACATCATTTTTTTTTATTAAATTCAAACGCCGACATGAAAGAAAGAAAACGTGCTCTTAAATGAAATACATTAAAATACAGCAAAATAAATAACAAATGTTGGAAGTGGTTTCCTTTATTTCAAAACTTTATAGGTGAATATCTACAAAATGGTAACTCATAGCAATACGTGCCAGGTATACCTTTCTTATATAAACATGATAGGGACATAAAGAAAATATATCAAAAAGGCAGATATATCGAGGAGCAAAAAAGTTATGATATTTTAAAAGACATGCAAAGTGCCGTAACTGGCACCTTCTGATATGTAATGGCAAAATTATGATCAGATACCTCTTGATAACTAAAATTTGCGCTATATTTGTAATTTTGAAAAAGTTGTTTAAAAATAATGTAAACAAATGTTTTGACGCCTGATATCTCTACTTTTGGAGTAAGGTAAGTTTGGTTAAATCGTAATATTTTAGCGTGTAGAATCCGCTGTTGTGCCATTATTTATGGAATTTTGAGCAACAGCCATCACGGGAAATGTTATGTTAATGTAAACAAAGAATATGATACACGTTTATTTTCTTTTCTGCCGGTAAACATTTTAAAGGTGTAAAAAGCACCCCTAATTGATACACTAAAAAACAGTTTTTTTTTTAACCAATTGGAGATTGTTTATTATCAAATGCTGATTTTATAAAAAAATTCAACTGAGCTATATTTGGTCAGTAATAAAAAAGGGACAACATATCAATTTTTCAGAAAATTTCACTGAAAGACCAATTTCCATAAGGTGTGTGCGGGGTCCTTTTCAAAGAAATTATTTTCTAAACCTGTTTTGAAGCTTTGCAACATTATTCAATTAATTTAATGTCAGTTATGTTTTTTCAGTATTTGCAACAGGAACTGATAAAATCCAATGAACGAAAAAAGTATTTCATCTTGCAATGGAAACGCTATTTTTTCTGCTCATATATAATTTATGCCCTATTTACAACTTAAAAAATTAAGTATAATAAAGCAAATTATTCATTTCACTTTTCTAGTTGCTTGTGCACGGCAACACATATGCATTAGCTCAATAGCTTTAAAGTAAAATTCACGGCGATGTAACACTAAAGAAATTATTATTTCTATTAAGAATGTAACAACTGGCCAGTGGCCACACCTTTACTGTGCAATGGTAATAGATTCCCTCGTATCCTTAAAATTAAAAATAAGTGTTTTACTTACTCTACAGATAATACTTTTACAATGAATTTCTATTGATAAGAAATTTATGAGATCAAAAATCAATAAATGACGACACTTTTATCACCTGGGTGTTTGAAGCCGATAAAATAACTGGGTACATTAATTTGACTGAAAATATAGGAAACGGCAAGCAAATAAAACTGATAAGAGATAAAGCTGTTATGTGACAAACGTTAAAAATAGAACATCTACAATTTATCAGAGCTAACACTTAATTTTATTGGAGAAAACTGTGTACATAAGATGATTAATAATATCGAGCTCACCCCTTGGAAACATGGAGAGAATAGCTCACTTTAAACAGAGACACATTTAAAAAGCTTTGGAAATCATAATATGCAATTACAAAAACAATTGAACGTCATTTAGAAAGATATAAAGAAAAACCAGATTTATTTTTTGCTAAAAAAAACTCCTCGTTTTTTTCTGTAGCTATATTCGAATTCCTGAAAGGAACGATTTATTCCAGTTCTACAGTAAATGGATATGTGAGACAACTGTTTGTTTCACAAACGGAATGTATGGGAATTTTTTATTACAAATATAATTTTAAAGACAATGCAATCATTAAAATTTTCACAAATTCGGTGCTGTAAAGTTTGTTCAATGTTATCCCACAAAAAAATTTTTACATATTACAATTTTTTTTGTGAAACAAACAGTTTTAAAATTATGTCCTACTTATTCAACCACAATTAAAGCTCGAATTGTAGAATAAAATGTAGCAATAAATACAACTAATTTTAATTTTTTCAATTTTACAGAGCGAGAGAATATTTCACAAAATTACACAGGGGCAAAATTGTTACATACAAAAATAAAAAAAATGCTGGCAATAAAAAATATAGTAGTACTTTCCTTCACTAGTGATTAAGTTGACTTTTAATACCTCTAACAAAAACAAATGAGCATTTACTAATGCATCTAAGGTTGCTAGGGTAATCTGACAATTATTGTTAGTGTATTATAAACATGATATCTATATTTAATGTTTCTGATATAACCAAATCATTTTTATAAACAAATTTTTGCTATTTTAGGACAGACAGAGATGTAAAATTGAAAATAATGTATTTACAAGTTTCTAATTGCACAAAACATTATTTCATTTCTATTATCAAATACATACATTTTTTTATGACAATTAAATCAGATTCAGATTCGTATCCGTATATGTTGGTAAAAAATTTATAGTGAAGAATTATCTTGAAGAAAAAAACTTTCACTTCATGGTAGAGTAAGAATAAAATTGTATCGTCACCTACAAAAAAATTATGAGCATATTTGTTTTTTTATTTTAGTATGTCAAAACTATTCCAAAGCATTTTAGTTAAATGAGACAACTCTGGATAAGAGTAAGTTTAGTTAAATCATCACATTTTAATCCAGAATCTGTGGTAGGTCCATAGAATTATACATACTTTTTGGTGAACACTATATTATAATATACTAGTTGGGCCCCTTGTTATTGTTGAATATACTGTTATTCGACTCCGCAGTCTGCAATATTAACATGCACACCACATTTTAGTACACGTTGGTGCGAATGTTAATATTAGAACAACAGTGCCGTTTTATTACACGACACTCAACACAGGCTCTATATTTTTCCAGGACAGATCTTAAAAACATGGAAGTAGGACACAGTCTAGGCATCTTCAATTGTAACGTTTGCACCGAGATTCTAAAAACCGCTGGTGCAAATGTTGGAAATATCGCATGATTTAATATAATATTAACATCGACACCAAGCCTCTCTAAACTTTTGGTGTAGATGTTAATATTAGAAAAATTTGTTCATTTTCGAGATGGCAGCCATCGTCAGTTCAATTACACCCTGTAGAATTTACAAGAACGAATCGGAAAAGAGCGTCCAGTAGAGTTGCACAGCGTCGCAGTCTCCAATATTAACATCCACACCAAGCCTTCAAAATAACAGTGGTGCGAATGTTAATATTAGGAATAAGAGCTGCTATTGTGTGAGACAATCAAAATTTGGTCCCAAATATTAATAGGTGAGCTATAACAAATCAGTTATGTGGGTTATTATGTGGTATTAAGGTAATCCAAATGAATTCTAAAAATCCTCCTAATTCTAATTAAAAAAAAAGAAATCATCCTCCAGATTGTTTTAACAAAGGTGTAAATGATACAAATTTATACAGTTGAAATTTGAGATTTTGAAGAACACAATTGCTTATATGCGCAAATATTACATGTTGCAACATCAAAGTACGTTTTTTTTCTTTGTAAGTGAATGGATTGTCCTACGCATATTTAATTTGTATATTCAATTTCCTAATACTGTGAATTAATTTTGAGGGATTTACAATAGATGGTGTAACTTATGCTATACTGTATCGAACACTTCTGTAACTATATTCATGTCAAAGCTCTCATTACGCTTAACTTTTTATTGCCGTTTTGTTGAATTATAAATACAGTCAAACTCGGTTATAGCAAGCATTCACGGGAACGCAAAATTTGCTCGTTATACGCGAGTGCTCGTTATAGACGTCGCCGTCGCCAACTATGCTGAAAATTATTGGACACATAATTATAGCTGCATTGCACTTGTATTTTTATTTTCAAACATATACTATTATTTATCTACATAACATAGATATGTATAACTGTAGGTAAGTTACATTACATAGCATTTATCATTAACGAAAAAATTCTGTAATATTTTTCTGCACCACTCTTTTGCTTAATATCTCCTGACTGATATTTCTTTGCAACCGATAAGCGGCATTTAAGAACTGCTCGTTTTCCGGATATTTGAATTCGACGTATGATACTATGGTTTTTAACGCAGAGATGGCTTCATGTGTCGAAGGAACTGTAACCTCATCGCTTCCCGTCTCTTCTTCATCACTTTCTTCATCTATTGATGGGTTAATCGCTAATTGAGTGATTTGAATTACATTTGGGAATTCAGCCACTTCGAGATTTTCGTCTACCATGTCGTACTGAACTAAGTCAAAGACGTCAAAATCGGATATGTTGTTATTTCTACTAGTCATAACAAGTTTTTGCGTTCATTTGATGTCATGGGCGTAAAAACTGGTTCTACGATAACTCGTTATAGCCGAGACCACTGTTGCGCGGGACCAAAATCAAAGCTCGTAATAGCCAAGCCCTCGTTATATACGAGTTCGTTATAGCCGAACAAAAATACACGTGTTATATAGGGAATTCGGAAGGGACATTTCAATTTGCTCGTTATAACCAAGTGCTCGTTATATCCCCTGCTCGTTATAAGCGAGTTCAACTGTAACATATTTCTCTCGCCTCCGAAAATTCCTCAATATTAAGTCACAGTCCTAGTAATTCAAGAAAAGTTATTCCGACTATACATTCTTACCAGTTAAAATAAAATATTTTTATTTTTAAATCCTATGTGAAAAAAAACACTCATTTTTCTCTAAAGTCTGGGGAAATGTTCATATGTATGAGTTACGTTTGAAAACAATCATCCTGTTTTGATATATTTGCAAAAATATTTAAAAAACATTTTTAAGAAATAAAAATGTCCATCTTTTATTTTAAGTTGAATTTGTTAAGAATACAGTTGACTTTTTTAATGACAATCTATGTTATAGGTAAATAGGTGATTATAGTTTACTTATATAAGTATATCAACACCACTTTATATGTTACAAGTAAAATTTGTTTTTAGGAGCACACACTCCAAATTTATGAAATTATGTTTATCTTAACCATGACATTTTTATTTTGTCGATTTCACCTTTTAATATATCAAACGTATTTCAAACTATTCTAAAGTGTTCTAGAAATATCCAATAAAATTATTATACATTACATAACATTATCAATTACAAAATACATATGTAAAATTTTCTAAAATGAAATACAGATAAAACTAAGTTCAGAACGTACTAAAAGTTAAAACAATGACCGTAACCAAAATAATTCTAATATACACCATAAGTACATATTTTCTGGAAAAAAAAAATAGTGGTTTTCTTATTTGTTATCCTCCTATATTTTGCCATTAATGCAATAAAAATTATAATTATCTTGAACCCTGTACGAAATGGCAATAAAACTTGACTTGCAAAATAAAATTAATGTAAAACTTATTTTTACTTTTTCAAATTTACAGCGTAAGGAAGTATTTTACAAAATTACGCAAGATTACTACAAATGAGAAAACCTACCAGAAAAAGCAATTCTTTTGATTTGCTACTACTTAAAGTTTGGTTCAAAAAACGTAAAATTCTTGCCGATTTTTTTTTCTTGTCATTTACACCTATCGTTGATTTGGATATATCTGTTGACAACCTGTATATACTCTGATACTAAATATTAGATAGCTAAATAAAAATACTCTATCCAAAATGTACTACTGAATTAACACATACCTGCCATATTGAAATCATTAAATAATGTTTCGAACTTTCCAAGAAAATAAATTCTCATTCTTGTTCTTGCTATAACTATTCACCTTGGACATTAACAGGAAATTTAATCACCATACATTATTTATAATTATTATTAATTCTACATTTTAAAAATTAATAGGTATTCAAAATACGAAACTTGGCGAGAATGAAATTAGCCACGCGACTCGACATTCTGAATTTGAATGCAACTATTTTTGAGGCCAACTGGGCTCAATTTTTTCCATTCCATTTCCATTATTGCTTCGACAAGTTAAAAGCGACTGTATTTTTTTAATGACGAATAGCTTGCATAATATGTTGAAACGAATTATTTTATATTTTGTAACGGTACGTATACTAAAATAATACGACTGTCGCAACTATAATTAAAATAAACTAAATATAAATTGAAATTCTACACATTTTATTATTTTACTTAAAAAATACATTTGACTTACCGTTAGATGTAAGCACGAACGACCAGTAATGAAATATTCTAGCTAAACCTCAAATGACTAGACACTTATATAAAATAGATTTTGCGTGTACAAAACTAACCTCTAACCCTAACCTCTAACAAAATGAGTTGGCATGTTGCAGCGTTGGAATTTATAAATAACGTTAAGCTCCAACCAGCCAATCACACGCTGACACTTCGTCTTTGATCGAAATGTCAGCTTGTGATTAGTTCAAAAAACAAACACTAAAGTTGGAACTACTTAACTACTACCATATCTGTTGATAATTGTGAACTTAATGGGAAATCGCTACCAATAAAAAATGGTTTTAAATAAAATGTAAAGTATATTTATACCTATAAAAATTTAATTAAAAAAACAATTAACGAATATCAAAGAATTCGGAATAATTAAAATCTGTCCGTCTTCCAACATAAGGCAAGATATTTCTTATTGCAGTATTTATCAACGTTATAAAATTTGTAGTCTAATTTTTTATTCTAATAATTCTTTCTAATTCATTAGGGTATAATTTAGGCAAATAAAAAAAGTTTACGCCACGTTACACAATATTGCGCATTATTACGACATGGCTTCACAGCAGAAAAATACATACAACTATTCGATGATACATTTAAGTGTTTAACAAATGATGGCATTTTTATATTTATAAAAGAAAAAAGGAAACCCTCAAGGAAAATCTATCAGATCTATGTGCAGTATCTACAGGGTGATCGAGAATGGTTGACCGTGCCGCCTCATACTGATTTTTGATGTGCGGCATACCAGTTTTTGATACCAATACTAGAATCATGAGCGCAGGTTGAGGGATTTTAATGGTAAACAAATAATTACGTTCAAACGTCAAATAAATTAGGTTATTGTCAAAATGGAAATTCATAATAAAAATATCAATTATTTAACAAAAATCAAAGTTATTTCACAAATTAAGCAATACTGATGGACCAATAAATGTTATTATTGTTATTATTATTAAAGAGGATGACAGAATCAAATGTAGGTTTAGCCTAACTTTTCCAAAATTCTTATTTCATTTACAATTAGAAAAACTTTTAAATCAAAGTTTGATGTAGCTAATTTTGAATAACGACTGTAAGTGCTTCAGCGATTTTATTTTTAAAACGTTATGAGTTAATTTTAAAACAGAAGCACTATTGTGGCTACATTCTTGGCATCTAAGACGATTCAGCTATACAGCGATACGCTGCAAGCTGCTGTTTTTCATCAAAGCAAACTGCTGTATGCTTATAAGACGACTATTTTGCAGCTACTGCTTTCACACTTCTGAATATCCAGCGCAAGCGATCCAGCCCAAAAATTTATGCTGAACATTTTAGTTAGCTGTCGAAATTCAGGAAAAGTGTCTTAAAAAAATTTGCTTCAAGCAAATGCAAGCAGTTGGAAGTGCTTGATTATGTTAGATGGTAGGATTGTCTGTATGACCGAGAGCAATAAACAACAGTTACATGCAATATATAATAACAGAGTAATTGGAATTTTTTCACATTTTATTGAATATTTTACCTTAAAATTACATAAAATCCATAAAAATATCTATATTTTTACAATAAATGTTCAATATGATGTCCATTGTTGTTCAAGCAGGTATTAATTCTTCTTTTCATATTATTAAATACATTCTGTAAAACATTTTGTGTAATACTCCTAATTTCGTTTGTAATTGCCTCTTGAAGTTCTTCAATCGTGTGTAACCGTTGAGCAAATACTGAATTTTTTAAAAAACCAAATAAATAATAGTCTAGGGGTGTAAGGTCAGGAGAACGTGGTGGCCATCTATCTCGACTAATTATTCGATCATCATAATACTCTCTAATCAACTCTAAAGTTTCGTTAGAGGTGTGAGCTGTTGCGCCATCTTGCTGAAAGTATCCATGATGGATTTCATCGTCGTGAAGTTCCTCAAAAAATGGTAACAATATTTGCTGCCGATATACCTGCCCAGTTACATTTTCACGGAAAAAATATGGTCCGATTATTCTTCTACGTGACATAGCTACCCAAACACCAAGTTTAATAGGGTGCAGAGTTGTTTCACGCAAAATATTAGGGTTTTCTGTGTTCCAAGAGCGATAATTTTGGGAGTTTACGTACCCACTTAAATGAAACCACGCTTCATCAGAAAAAAATGTTAGATCTAGAATATCGTCGTCATTCAGATTTTCGTTAAACCAATTACAGTATTGCACACGTTTTCCAAAATCTAACGGAAGTAGTTCCTGCACAACACTAACTTTATAAGGATGAAAATGCAACTTCTTTACTGCTTTATGGCATGATCCATATGATATTCCTATAAACAATTTAGGAATAATGATACAAATTTTAGAATAAATATTTGTTATTAAGTACCTGTTTGAGCAGATAACCGACGTAGTGATTTGGTTGGACTAGCTCGTAAGCGGTTTTCAACATCTTCCAAGACTTCCTCTGTAAGAATAGACTTTCTGCCTGGAGATTTTCCTCTACAAACACTTCCAGTGTTATGGAAGCGTTCCACTAATCTCTTCACGTGTCTCGAAAAAATTTCATAATCATCAATTTCATCATTTGGAAATTGTTCTTGAAATTGTAAATGACAAGAATTCATCGAATATTTCCAACTATTTCCATTGTTTTGTCCACTACGAAAATAGGCCTCCAGAAGAAATTTATCATGTTCTAATGAAAATGCCATGTTAACCTAAATTAAAAAACCGATTAGGTTAGGGAACAACATACGCAATAAATTAATTACTCACGTATAATATCCACATACTCTAACTGTAGTATTGAAAAATACTGTTTTATAATGTCGCAAAATATATGAGGTAACAACAAAATCTACAAAATAATATTCAAGCCAAAAAATCCGTGCGCCAATGAACAGAACGTCAAATTGTGAAATCGCCACAGAATACCATGAAATTTCACGGAAAAAAAGTAATTTTAGCAAACGGAAATCAGTTTTGATAGCAATTGAGACAGGGTACGTTCAGAATCCCGTCAATCATTCTCGATCTCTCTGTACAATAAATAGTAAATTCAAATTTCAATTTCACATTTCGGATTGTTTTTTTTGCGTTCCAATAAGGTGGGACATTACATTACAAATGTTTTTGTTGTGTCCCCCTACTTTTCTCACACGACACCACTTACAATGCAACATTTTACTCTCGTACTGTTCCCACACAATGTGAGCTAACGAACGAGGCCGTTTTCCGCATCCAAATCCAAGATTCCCTTTCCACCACCCGTCTCATGGAGGCCGGTGTCCCCCAGGGCACCGTCCTGTCCCCACACCTATACACCATTTACAACTCCGACATCCCACATCCCCCCAACACCGACATATACTTATACGCCGACGACCTGACAATCACATCCCAATCCGTAGATCCTAGATATTCCGTCTACCTCCTCCAAAGCTCCTTAGACCAACTTGAAACCTGGTGCAGCAGGTGGAAAGTTAAAATTAATCCCAACAAAAGTTCGGCTATCCTTTTTACCAAACGACAAATCCCACAAAACCTCGACACACTGACACTATCCCAGGAACCCATCTCCTGGAATCGACAAACACGATACCTGGGCGTGACGATGGACCAGCGTCTCACGTGGAAACCGCACATCGTGGAGGGGGTGGCGCGAGCGAAGACCACCAGGGCTAGGCTCTATCCTTTACTCAAAGATGGAAACACCCTCAGTTTAAGGAATAAGCGAACGCTTATCAAGGTGGTACTTCAACCGCAGCTAACCTACGCCTCCACGGCGTGGGGTCACGCGGCAAA